TAGGAGTACAAGGTTACTCAGGAAATATAAGGGATAAAGAAGAATTTTGGTTTAAATTATCTAATGAAATTTTTGCTGAAGTAGTCTAGTGTGATCAGACATAACTTGGGGGTGGTGGAAAATGAATATCTGATCTGATATAGAGGCTAATCAAATGTCAAAGAGGGATGCTCTTGCTAATAGCAAAGTTTTTTGCTAAGGATTTTTACAAGGAAGAGTATAGACTCTTTTACAAGGAGAAATTTCAGATGAATCATTAAATTTTGGATAGGCAGAGAATCTTTGTCTAAATTTTGGATATAATTTGTACAACTAACAGAATTTTCATAGGATTTAGTGACTAAGTGAAAAGTGAAGGATAACTCCAAGAATTTTTGCTGAGCTAAAATCTGAGCAAGTAGAAGGAACTTCCATTATTTGACAAAGAAATTGTGGGAGATTTATATTTATGTATGTGCAGGAACCATTTATTTCTAAATATTCTTGAATTTCCTACTAGATATCTAAAGGGAGATTGTGAGCAAGCCATTAGGTATACCAATCTGGAGGTTTCTTATTTAAGTTAGATAACTAAAATGGAGATTGCCAATGAATGTTTTATATTTAAAGCTACACATGTAGAAGAGACTATTTACTTTGTTTCTTCTGAAAAAAAAAAGATTCCAAGATTAAGCTCTGGAATATACCTACTATGTGATTGGATTGAGGAAAAACATACAAAAGAAATTGGGACTGGCCTTTGAAGTAGGAAAAAAGCCAGGACTTTCCAGAATCCCAAGTACAGAAAGCACTTCAAGAAATAATTGTTATGGGCTGGGAAGGTGGCTCAGTGGTAGAGCGCTTGCCTTGCATGCCTGAGGCCCTGGGTTCGATTCCTCAGCACCACATAAGCAAAAAGAAAAAAGCCGGAAGTGGCGCTGTGGCTCAAGTGGTAGAGTGCTAGCCTTAAGCTGAAGAGCTGAGGGACAGTGCCCAGGCCCAGAGTTCAGGCCCCATGACTGGACCCAAAAAAAAAAAAAAAAAAAAAAGAAATATTAATTGTGCCAGTTACTGTTTATGGTTCAAATGAGAATTGATAACCACTGATTTAGCAATACAGAAGAAGGTACTAGTACTGGTGACTTCTGAAATAAGTTCAAGAAAATATCTAAAGGGAGGCTTTTGAACAAACAAAAGCAGTAACAGAATGCTAGCTAGAGAAGGAGTTAGTTTCAAATAAGATAAGATAGTGTTCTTTGGGGTGATTCTTTAGAGAGAATCACTTGATGATGCAGGAGAGGACAATTTCTCTCCTATCTTTTTTTTTCTCTCCTATCTTTAATGAAAGATTAGATTCAGCTCACTGAATCTTCAGTAGGAGCTAGGATAGCTTGTTCATAATAAGGAGGAAGGTAGATATGTGAATATAGATACACGTAGGATGTTAAGTATGGTTAATTCTGAGAATGTAATTTGTTTCATAGGATTATCTCTATTTCTTGAGGAGTGAGTGGTAAAGGCAGCAGGACGCCTAGCTGAGAATCAGAACTGGGAAAGATTTGAGAGGTCTGTGGATAGAGAAAATGTAAAATAGCTATCTAGTAGAATGGAAAAGACAATGAATCAAGGAAATAGTGCGCTTATCCCTCTTAAGAGCTACAATTAAAGCTGATTTGACATTATAGTTATAAATTTAAGGGTGATAAATTAAAGTAGTCCTATGTTTTGCTCTAAATATAATAAGCTGTCTCGTTCAAAAGATAGCATAAGTGGCAAGTTGAATGCCTAACCTGACATCTGGCATATGATAGTCTCTCAAAAATATTTTAGACTAAATGTTATACAAAATGTGTGAATGAATGAAAAAATTAAAATTTTGCTCTAATATTATGGGATTCATAGGAGTCTTACATGTAGCTAGGATTGTAGGCATAAGCTACTATGTAGCATAAACTACTAATGACCAAGTTTCAGCTTACTTTCTTGTAGAATAGATAACATTTCTATGTAGCTCAAGTGGTTACTGTAAAGGTTTAAATAAGATAATCATTTAGGTTCCTGCTTCCATCAATACACTAAATGATGAAAATATTAAATGATAAGTAGCATGATGTACATATTAATGGTTTAGTACTATTTTCTCTATGACTTAGATACTTTATCTTATTTAATTAGTACAATGATACTAGTTTTACTCTTTTATTAATTGTTTGTAACATATGATACCCGTTTTCATCCAATAGGGTGTTTTTGCTTTAGTTTCAATTGGTTAAACCACTTACTTTGGTTAAAAAGAAACCACATTTCTGCCTTTTGTAGGTTGCAAGTATAAGGGAGAGAGGAGATTATGAGCTGAATTCTATCTTTATGTAAATAAGTCAAAATTTTTTATTTGAAGATTTCATTCTAAATTTCCCTGTGATTCACAAATTCATAAATGGTTTGCTGTGTAACAAGAATGTATTTTGAAAGAGTAACACATTTTCTGAGACACAAATACTTTTTTTTTTAGTAGCCATCTAAGCAAGGACAAAAATATTGCCTGGTGTGGTCATCTCTATTTATTCCAGTGAATTATAAAATGCTTTTGTAGCTCTCAAGTAACTAAGGCATTTCACATAATATGTCCAGAAACAAACATTGTACCTAAGAAGTTCTCAGATGCACATTTTTACCACAAAATTTATAATCTTAAAGTCAATGGCATTTTAGATTCTATGAAATAAAGTAATGCCCACCTATCACTTCCCCTAATACAAAGTGCTTTTCCTTTAGTCTTTTCAAAAACTGTCTTTTCTTAGAAATCTGTGAGTTGACCTTCAGTCCTCAGCCTTTTTTAACACTATAATTTTTTTTTTACATATAAAACACTTCTCAATTTACTCGTCTTATCTTGTCTAGTTCTATCACCTTTTTCCAAACTATTTATTCACCTTTCCAAAAAAGTATTGCAAACGTCTTTTAACTTTTGGGTTTCCAGGTCTTATCCAGATTTCATATTTTAAAGGACAAATCAGAATATGTTACTATTTTGCTTTTGTTTTTTAATGATTGAAATTTATAATATGTTGTTAAAGGTCTTAGCTAAGCAGTTCTGTAATTCATGGCCTGGCTTTGTTTTTCAGTTCTGTAGTCTTCCTCCTGGTTCTTTGTTCATGCACACTGATATCTCAGTTTTTCATGCTTTTTCTTTTTCTTTTTACAGTACCATGATATAACTTTTTCCTAGAATGCTGTTTCCTTCACTTTTCATCAACTTGCCTTATTTGTCCACTAGGTTGCAGCTTTCATTTCTAATCTTAAACATCAGTACTTTAAAGGTATTTATAGATCCCACATCTAAATGAGATCTTAATAAGCTCTCTCATAGTGTTTTATCTATTTCTACATGTCACTGATGATTAATTATGTTTGTCTCCATGCTGTTGTAAGCATGTTTCACTGTCTTATTTCCATGCATGAAGGCTTAGCAAAATAAGGCAAATGGAAGGTGTTCAATAAATAACTATTAAAATACTTTTAAATAAATCAAAGTATAAATGAAAATTTAAAACATGTACAAGTATACACTAGAACAAAAATACTTTTAAAGTAAATAAGGATGTTAAGTTTGTAAAGATGCAATGTCTGAACAAAAGTTGATATGTTATTTTAAAGTAATCCTAATTTATGTTATTTAAGTATAGTTTAAGTCATTTGCACTAAGAAAAGTTGAGTGAATCATTTCCATTTTCACGGAATATCTTTTATGTAATTTTTTTTCTGGTCTTGGGGCTTGAACTCAGGGCCTGGGAACTGTCCCTGAGCCTCTTTCTGCTCAAGGCTAGCACTCTGCCACTTGATTTACAGCACCACTTCTGACTTTTTCTGAATAATTTATTGGAGATAAGAGTCTCACGGACTTTCATGCCTGGGTTAGCTTTGAACTGCTATACTCAGGTCTCAGTCACTTGAGGAGATAGTATTACAGGAGTGAGCCACTGGCACCGGCTATGTAACCATTTTTAACCATTCAAATTTTTGAGGGAATCCCGTAACTATAAAAAGTATCATCATATACATTCCATTCATTAATAGTATTTATTTGACTTTTTAACTAATGATTATTGGTATATCATTACTTAAAATTTTAATGTTTTTTTAAAAATGTTTTATAATGTTTTAATGTTTGAAGAACAAACTCATGTCTTTAGTCTAGCATGAAAAGCTAATAACATGAGAAAAAGACATAATTTTTAGATTGCTTTTTTTTTTGGCAGCAGTTGGATATGAACTCAGGACCTTGCACTCATTAGGCAGGCCTCTCTACCACTTGAGCCACAGCTTCAACACTTGTAGTTATTTTTCAAAGAGGATCTTGTATATTTGTTCAAGTTGGCCTGGACTAGAACCCAGCTTTTTTAATGGTTGAAATGAGAGTCTTACAATTTTTTTGCTAAGGCTGGCATTGAACCACTATCTTTCCAATTTCTACCTCTAGAGTAGCTAGGGTTGCAGGAGTTAATTTCTGTGCCTGGGGATATAGTCTTTTCCTTTTTAGCATAGTCAAGTATTTTTTGGTTTGCATTACTGTTTATTATTAGCCTTTTTTTTATACCTTCAGACTTTTGTTGTGTAGGATTTGTCTAGTGTGTATAGCCGTATATTCTGCATTCTATAAATTTTGTTCATTTTCAATCTTAGCTTTCTCTTGTTCATTATAAATGCTGCAGCCAGAATTTTAGAAACTAGACAGGATCACACAGTTTAAAAAGTTTATAATGTCTTTGTCCTTTTTTCCCACTGTCTCCTTTACTACATTCTTTTATCTGTCTGACTCTCACAGGAGACATGGATTACAACTGGTTGGACCATTCGTCTTGGCATAGCAGTGAGGCATCCCCAATGTCTTTGGTGAGACATGTGGAGCCTTACTATTTAATTTCCGTTTTCATTTCACTTTTCCTTTTTTTATTTACACCTTTGCATGTTTCTTTCTTTCTTTTTTTTTTGTATTTTTTTTTTTTATCCCACGCCTGTAGGGGACAGTCAAAAGGGAAAAAGAAAAACTAGTGAGCAGGCAGTTTTGTCGGATTCTAACACCAGGTCTGAGAGACAAAAGAAAATGATGTACTTTGGTGGCCACTCTTTGGAAGAGGATTTGGAATGGTCTGAGCCTCAGATTAAGGACTCTGGGGTAGATACCTGTAGTAGCACAACCCTTAACGAGGAGCATAGCCATAGTGATAAGGTACTGAGATTGTGGAGCCTGCCTTTTAACCTGCTCATTTGGTCTTCGTTTGCTCTCTGTCACTCATTAAACAAAACATATTAAAAGGACAGGGCATTTCAAGGGTTAATGTAGCATTTATAAGGTGCAGAAAAGAAAAACAAAACCAAACCAATCAACTAACCAAATCAAAATGTTTGTGTGTCTTGCTGTTTTTTTTTATTGTTTAACAGCATACCAAAAAAGTAAATAAAAACAAAAATTAGGAACAAAGGAATTTTTGTCTATAGTCACATGGAGAACATGGTTATGTTTTTATAAACCGTAAATGATAAACAATTTTTGGATTGGCTTATTTGATTGCTTATATAAATTTTCCTTGGGATGAAAATTAAATTATTTATAGTTTGAATCCCAGGCAAAAGGGAGTTAATTGGGTCTGTTTGCACAGAAAATGTTGTTTTTCTTTTTTCCCTTTCACTGTCATTTTGTTCTTTTATTTATTGTCATTGCATTTAATGTGGTATTAATTAGCATTAGATTCATTGTCACCTGCTTTCATATTTATTATTTTTGCTTTTAGAATAGTGAGATTTTTAAAAATCTTTTAACCATACAGATGTGATTGATTAGAACTTGTCTTTTGCTTGCTAAATTTTGCATGAAGATAATGCATGTTACTTGTAGATAACTGTGAATCTATGATTACACAAATCATTTAGTTTGTTATTTGACTTAACATTCATAGTGGAATGGTGTCATTATTTATAAAGGCCTTGGTTCTGCCATGAGAAATAGTGTAATATTTTCAATGCTATTTAACAATTGATACCTTTGACTTATTTACTACAATTTTACTAAATAGATTAAAAATTCTGAAAAAAATCAAGGAACTTTTGCAACATGAGAAATAAAGTGTGCATACTCACATGAATAATTGTTTCTCCTGAGCAGATTCAATTAAAGTTATGTGTAACTGCACCTTTTAGAATTTTAATTTAGAAATCTATTTAGGAAAACCATGACCATGAGTTTAGATTTCATACTTAAACATTTGAGATTTAAAAATTTTGCTATAAAACAAAACTTTCCAAGTATTTGAAACAGCAGTTCTCATTTTGAGAATGTACAACTGCATAAAATTTCAATATTTCTTTTCTACCCATGAGGTTTTAATTATTCTTCAGCAGGTAGTTAAGTGCGTTCATATATTTCAAGAGAAAAAGATTTTTTTTAATAATTTGTAGATCCATATAATTTCTGTATGAATTTAGCATAATTGTATTAAAAACTTAAAATTATAAAATTCAGGTGATAAGAGTAATGTAGTAAGCTCTTTGATCAATATTTTGAAATGTAAACTGATTTGTGTAATCCTAACACTTTAGAATTAAAAGAATAAAAAATTAAAAGAAAGAATAAAAAATTAAAAGAATTAAAAGAAATTGTACGATATTTGTCAAGAAAAAAACATTATTATTATTTTTTCTTTATTGATACTATATGGCAGCATCCTGTAACTTGGCAGCCATCTAAAGACGGAGATCGCCTAATTGGCCGTATTTTATTAAATAAGCGCCTAAAAGATGGGAGTGTGCCTCGGGATTCAGGAGCAATGCTTGGCTTAAAGGTATGTAATAAAATGTATAACATTTTGGCTTTCTACTACTTTATAAATTTATGAGAAAGACAAAGGACTTAGTAACTCTGGCTACCTATACCACTTCAAGGAGATTTCCATTTTGAAGAATTATCAAACTTACAATTTCAAGGTATTATTTAGGAATTTGTAATTATTCTACGATAATAGTCATACATGTAATTTGGGAAGATAGCAATAGTAATCTGATCAGAAAAACTAAACACAATGATTAAATTTACAGTTTTTTCTTTAAGTTTCTACTTTTATATTAAAATGATTGCTTTTTAAAATTACTGTGCATACTTGTGAAATGTAACATGTACATTACAGCATTTTTATTAAAATGATGTTTGAGGGAAATAATTTTTTATTTTAGAAATAAGTTGCAGTGTAAGATATCTTGAATAGATAGTAGAAAATATTATATATCAGTGGAATTTAGTGACTAACATTTATCAGATGCCTACTATGTATTTGGTATTCATTTGAGTATTTTTTATTGGTCCTCTTATTTAATACTCAACACAGAAGAGAAACCAGCTTACAGAGGTCATTTGTTTATATCACAAGAAGATGGATTTAAATCCAGTTCTGCCGAGTGTAGTATTAGAGAGATGTGATGCAGAGGTTAGGAAATTTTGCCTTGAATTTCAATTATTGTAGTTACCAGCTACATAACATTAGACAACTCTTTTTTTTTTTTTTTTTTTTTTTTTGGGTCTGGTCGTGGGGCCGGAACTCTGGGCTCTTCAGCTCTTCAGCTCAAGGCTAGCACTCTACTACTTGAGCCACAGTGCCACTTCCGGCTTTTTTCTTTTTGCTTATGTGGTGCTGAGGAATTGAACCCAGGGTCTCATGCATGCAAGGCAAGTGCTCTACCACTGAACCATCTTCCCAGCCCAACATTAGACAGCTCTTAATTTCAAATTCCTCATCTGTACAACAGGGAAAATAATATTCTTGAATTCATAAAATGAAGTTAAAACAGAGTGCAACCATTTATTGCAATGTTTGGCATATTATAAGATTCAGTAACAATTCATAGATAGTACAATGGCACTTATAACTTACAATTATGGTTGGATTTCTTAAGTCCAGTTAAAAAATATTTACATAAAGGAAATGGAAAAAGACTTGGAAAAAAATCTTATTAAGTGAAGTAAGCCAGACCCAAAGAAACGCAGGCTCCATGGTTTCCCTCATTTGTAATAATTAGTATATGTCTAGATTGGTCCCAGCAGAGGATCACAATAGCTTAGTAGCTATGTATATATGACCATATAAAATGATGATAATCGAAATGAACTCCAATATATGGAAACAAGAGGGTTTTTTGTTTTATTTTTATTTTTCAGTATACTGTGTGAAGTAATTTCTTCCCCCCCACTCTCTCCCTCTTTCTCTTTCTCTCTTTCTCTTCCCCCTCTTCCCTCCCTCTCTCCCCCCTTCCCCTTCTCCCCTCTCTTTCTTTCTTTCTCTCTTTGTTTCTCCATTCCTGGGGCTTGAACTCAGGGCCTGGGTGCTGTCCCTCAGCTCTTCAGCTCAAGGCTAGTGCTCTACCACTTAAGCCACAATGCCACTTCTGGTTTTCTGGTGGTTTATTGGAGATAGGCTTCCCACATACTTTCCTGCCTAGGCTGGCTTTGAAACCTGATCCTCAGATCTTAGCCTCCTGAGTATCTAGGATTATAGGTATGAGCCACTGGTGCCCGGTTTTTGTTTTCTTTTTTTACTTTTGGTTTATCCCCTGTTGTCACTGTATTTGATTATGGTACCCTGTGTCTTGTATATACATTTATCTGATTTGGGGAGGGGAAGGGGACTAACAAAATGGTGAGACAAAGGACAAAGGGTGAACCAATGCAACAGCGATATTTACATGACACTATGTTAGAAATGAACTTTACAACTTGGGAGCCGGATTGGGGGGAGAGGGGGGGCGTAGTCGGGCAGGAATGGGAGAAGGGAAAGTGGGAGCAAACAAGGGAGGGGGGGGTAACAATGTTTAACTAGAAATGTACTCATTACCTTACTTATGTAACTGTAACCCCTCTGACATCACCCTTATAATAAAATAAAATTTAAAAAAAGAAACAAATTCACATACAGATTGAGCCCATAAGACCTCTGTACTTAATTTTTAAGAGTCAAATACAGGACTAATTTGTTAGTCTTAACTGAATTTGAATGCAGTTTAATTTAGTGTAGTTGTTGAGTAGTTGCACAGGACAATATATGTTAGTAATTTCTACCTTCAGATATATTCTCAATTTAGAATAGCAACAAATCTATTTATTTTAGTCAGTAAATTTAATGTTATTTGTTGCATGTATGAAATTGATATATTGGTTGAATGATGATTGATCAGTCACAACACTAATTTTGTTAGAGACTAATACCTTACAGATGCACAAATGATTTCCACAGTCTTGTTGCTAACTTTTTTTTTTTTTGGATTGGTTGTGTGGCTTGGACTCTGGGTGCTGTTTTTGATCTCTTTCACTCAAGGCTAGTGCTCTACCACTTTGATCCTCAGCATTAGTTTTCTGGTGGTTAATTGGAGATAAGCATCTGTGACCTTTTCTGCCTGAGCTGGCTTTGAACCATGAGCCTCAGATCTCAGCCTCCTTCATAGCTAGGATTATAGGCATGAGCCACCAGCAAGCTTCTAACCTTTTTTTTTTCTTTTTCTGAAAGATATTTTTAAAGAAACATTCAAGTTGGAAATCTGGGCAAAAAATGGTTTAAAGTTTACATTATTTCTGGTTAAGTAAATGTTGTAATTTTCTCAAAAAGGGTCATCATATTATTAGCCATATCAATATCCCTATAATAATAAAAATTTCATATCAAAATCACAGAAAACTTAACAAAACATATTTTCTCTAAGTTAAAAAAATCTTTTTCTTTAAATTAAAACATACTAATCCCAAATAGAGAAGAAAGAAGGACTTTTCTATAATACAAGTTTATCAATCTTTAATGAAAATTTCTGGACTACTTAACAGAATATTTTATTTAATAGTTTTTAACACTTATTACTGGGAAGTATTGATATATATATATGCATATAAATATATATTAATTTGTTTTTGGGGAAATGACAAAACAATTCTGTTTTAAGGAAAGAATCAGACATTTGTTATAGGTATGCAACATTTTCAATGAAGTGTTAAATATAGCACATTGGGAATACGTAAAAAGAATAGGTTTTTAGGAATCAACTTTTCTGAACAGAAACATCATTTTATTCAAGAAATGCTTTTAGTACATTAAATTACTGTTTTAGAAGCCACAGTTTGTTCTAGATATTTTTTACATGAATCCTCAACTATGTTCATTTTAGCAATATGACAGCTTAAATACTTTCTTCTTTTAAACAGGTTGTAGGAGGAAAAATGACTGAATCAGGTCGTCTCTGTGCATTTATTACCAAAGTAAAAAAAGGAAGTTTGGCTGATACTGTAGGACATCTTAGGCCAGGTAGGTTTTTATTGTTGGATATTTTCATTTAAAAGGTTAAACATGGATAATTTAGAAAAAATTGTTCTCATGTAAAATGATTTGGCCAATAATCAAGAGTTCATTTAATTTATATGAAAAACTTTATTCATTAATGTGTAATTATACCTGTTATTTCATTTTTATTATTTCTTGAGTTATATTAGACACCGAAACTTCATATTTATTAATTTTATACTTTTAGTGATATCCTAATTTGCATCTAGTATTAGTTTATTTAATTTTTCCATCTGGTTTAGTTTTTCCTTTGTAAAAAAATTACAACACTATGTAGGAAAAAACTTCAAGGTCAATTTTCTGAAATATGTTACTTCATACACCTGGACAATGAGTGCTGTTGGAGGAATCCTTGAAGATGATTTGATAAGATAATGATGATAATGAGCATGATTATGATTCTTATTTTTCAGTAGTACTAGAGTTAGAGCAACTATCATAATTACCACACAAGTACTTTAACACTTAAACCACACCTCTGACCCTTTTTTGTCTTAGTAATTATTTTGTGGATAGGATTTCATATGGCAAATTATTGCTATTGGGCCAGCCTTGAATGGAGATCTCTATTGGTATTTTCCATGTAGTGAGACCATTGCATGGTCTATCATGATTGCTGATAGGTGGAGATGTGATTTCACTAACTTTTTTTTACCTTGGCTTTCCTCAAACAGTGATCCTCTTTATCCTCCAAGTAGTTGGGATTACAGGTATACATTATCAGGCCTGCTCCTAATTATTAAATTCATTACTAAGAAATTTACTCATTGAAAAACTAGGTACTTACTTGCCTATGTACTAAAACCCTGGAGTACAGAGTAACAAAATCTTTAAAGAGACAAATGATGTTTGTAATTGTTTCCAATTTGAATTTGTATTAGAGACAAATTGTATATATTTTTTTCTTTTTCTTTTGATCATTGACATTTTTAGTTGTTTTTATCTCTAATCTTAGTGTCATTGATGTTACAGGTGATGAAGTGTTAGAATGGAATGGAAGGCTATTGCAAGGAGCTACATTTGAAGAAGTGTACAACATCATTCTAGAATCCAAACCTGAGCCACAAGTTGAGCTTGTTGTTTCCAGGCCAATTGGGTAAGTTGGTTTTAACACTTTGTTAAGTGTATAAATTGACTACGATTAAGCAAACTTTATTGAGCAGTCCAAAAAGGTCTGACTACTTTATGAATGTAAATTATTTTTTAGACAACTTTCCTTTCTACTATGCTAAAAACATCTTTCAAGGATCATAAACTTTTCTTTATCTGATTATGATAGAGTATACTGTTAATTACAAAAGAAGAAGAAATATATTTTAATAATTTGTAAATAAATAAATGAAATAAATTATAGTCATTAGTAAGGAGAAAGCACTATTGTAGAAATTAACATTAAGGTATGTTGCATGAACTATATTGTCTACAATGTATAAATGATGATCAACTTTACTCCAAAAATCACATGTTCTTTCAAAATAGAGGTTTAACCTGTGAAAGAAAGAACCAGAAGGCATGTGATTAAGAGGTTTCAAATGAGACCAAAACCAGAATATTCTTTGTAATTTGTTAACCATTGATTATTTCTAAAAGATGATAATAAATATATCCTTTTAATTATGAGAATTAATGAAATAGCCCACTACTATTTTTGTGTTGACATAGAGATTATAGAAAATATCTCTTTGTCAATACAAAACATATACTTACCAAATAAAAGTAGCAGAAAAATATATAAGATATCAATTTATTATTAAGTTTCTGTTTAGGTAACCACATTTTAGTGTGAACACTACAGAAAATTTTTGTTGTAGAATAATAATGTCTATTTTTAAGATATAATTTTATTGTTATTATTAAGATGTTGTATAAAGGAGTTAGGATTTCATGAATCAGGTAATAGGTAAATTTCCTTTTTGGATAGTGTCACCCTTCCTTTACTTTCCCTGAGTTTCCTGCCTGTCCCTGCCCACAAGTTACATAGTTCATAATGTCCAGTTTTAATTCACTAAGGGAATAATTAGATTATATTATTTTGATCTCCTTTTATGCCCAAGATAATGATTTGGATTATTAGTTTAATTTTCTTGAAATTTCCTTTCAATGAATCTAGCATGCAAAACTTTATTCATATTTCATCTTGACTTTTCATATTTCAGTAATATTGTAAAACTGGACTGACCAGATTGGTATTAAAAGCATTCTCAGGACATATTTTGTTTAATATTTGAACAATTTATAATCTTTTGTATAATTTTCTGACTGATACTTGCTACCTATCTCATCAATTAAGTATTACTATTCAGCTGTGAAACTGTCAGGGCAATGAAAATTCCAGTGCCTTAGGGTTTTACAACTGAATTCTGTAAGACTATTAAATAATACTCCTCAAACTCTTTCATGAAATAGAAAGGGAAAGATTGCTATCAAATTCATTCTATGAAGCCAGTATTACACTTACCCCAAACCAGACAGGGATTCAATAACAACAACAACAACAACAAAATACAAATAAAGATATATAGACTAATCTCTTTGATGAACATAGATGCAAAACTCTTTAATATAATACCTGCCAACCAAGTTTAACAAGTAATCAAGAAAAATCATATGCTACAATCATGTGAAATTCATCCCAGGAGTGAAAGGCTGGTTCAGTGTATGCAAATCTATAAATGTAACACAACACATTAAAAGAACTGAAGAAAAAAATCACGTGATCATCTCAATAGGTGCAGAAAAAAACCTTTGTCAAGATCCAGCATCCCATATATTGGAGTTCATTTAGATTTAGAATCATTTTATATGGTCATATGTTCTAAGGTTTGGAAACAAGAGGGCTTTTTTGTTGTTTCTTTGTTTTTGTTTCTGTTTTTAAATGTACTGTGTGAAGTTATTTCTTTTTCTTCTGTTCACCCCCCTGCCCTCTGGTTTGTCCCCTGTTGTCACTGTTTCTTATTTTGGTACCCTATGTCTTGTATATATGTTTACCTGATTTGGGAGAAGGGAAGTAGAATAACAAAATGATGAGACAAAGGACAAAGGGTGAATCAATGCAGCATCGATACTTACAAGACAACATGTTGGAAATTAACTTTACATATTGGAGGAGGGAAGTGGGGTGACGGGAAGTGGGAGAAAAATGAGGGAGGGGGTAACAAGAAAGGTACTCATTACCTTACTTATGTAACCGTAACCCCTCTGACATCACTCTAACAATAAACTAAAGTTAAAAAAATCCAACATCCTCTTTGACAAAAGATTTGAACAAGCTAGAAATAATTAGAACATTATTCAACATAAAAAAGGTTGTTTATGAGGAAACTACAGCCAACATCATACTAAAAGTTGAAAACTGAAAACATTTCATCTTAAGTCAGGAACAAGACAAGGATATCTACTTTCTCTACTCTCTTTTTGCGTGAGATTTCCTACTAGAGTAGTAAAGCAAGAGAGTGACATAAAGGGAATCTAAATAGGGAAGGAAGAAGTCAAACTATCCCAATTTGCAGATGACACGATCTGATATCTAAAGGACCATAGAAATTCTATCCCCCAAGCTCATGGAACTGATAAATAACTTTGGGAAAGTAGTAGGATATAAAACCAGTCCAAAAAAAATCATAGCTTTTCTGTACTCCTTCGGTGAAAAAATTGAGCAATATTCACAAGACAATATATTGGAAATGATCTGTTCAACTTCGTAGTGGGGGAGTGGGGAGGAGGGAAAGTAGGAGAAAAGAGAGGGAGGGGGTAATAAGTTTGACAAGAAATGTACTTATTACCTTACTTTTGTAACTGTAACCCCTCAGTACATCACTTTGACAATAAGAAAATAAAAATAAAAATAGAAAGGAAAAAATTAAAAAGAAAATCACAAAAGAAATTGAGAGTGAAATCAGGAAAGTAACTTCATTTGCAAGTCAAAAAATAAATATGTAGGAATCAACCAAGAAATGAAAATTTAAAAAGAAATTGAAGAAGATATTCAGAAGTGAAAATACCTCCCATGTTTCTGAATTGGCAGAATTAATATCATGAAATGGCAATACTGCCTAAGGCAATCTACAAATTCAAATTCAATGAAATACCCGTCAAAATACCAATGCCATTCTTCACTGAGTTGGAGAAAACAATTCAAAACTTTACACGGAACTACAAAATACCCTGAATCACAAAAGCAGTAATTCAAAATGGATCAAGACCTCAGTGTAAGACCTGAAATCAGGAAACTACTATGGGAAGAACTAGGAGAAACATTAGACCTTCTTGGCACACTTTCTGAGTGAAATTCCAGGTACTCAGCAAATTAGAGAAAGAATTGACAAATGGAGTTGCATCAAACTAACAAGCTAAAAAGACAGTCTATAGAATGAATGGGAGATCTTTGCCAGCTGTACATTAGTCAGTGGCCTAATATCCAAAATATACGAAGAGCTCAAGAAATGAAACCCTCAAAGAATCAACAAGCTAGTTAATAAATAGACAAACAAACTAGACACTTCTCTGAAGAAGTAAAAATGTATAATAGACACATGAAAAAATGTTCAACATCTCTGACCTTGAAGGAAAAACAAATGAAAACAATTCTGAGATTCCATCTCACTCCAATTAGAATTGCTATTAGCAAGAATACAAACAACAATAGACACCGGTGAATATGTGGTGTAAAAGGAGTCCAAATGCTTTGCTGGTAGGAATATAATCTTGTACAACCACTCTGGAAAGCAATTTGGATGTTCTGCAGAATGACTAAACATAAAACTATGACATAAGAGCACAAAAATAATGGGACAATGGAGGAACAAATGCACCAGTGATATTCTCTAAACACCATGTTGAAAATTAACTATACAATCAGTTGGGAAGAGGTGTAGGGAGGGAAAATCTGGGAGAAAACTAGGGAAGAGGTAACACTGTTCAAAAAGAACCATGTTATGTAATTGTAACAGTGTTTCATGTAACTGTATGCCACCTTTACAACAACAATAACATAACAAACAAACGAACAAAAACCATACCCCATGATCCAGCAATACTACTCTTGGGCATTTATCCAAATGATTACAAATCAGGATACAATAGAACCACTTGCGCAGCCATGTTTGCTGCTGCATTATTCACCATAACCTCAGAATGGAAATAGCCTAGATGCCCTTAGATGGACTAATGAATCAAGAAAATGTGTTCTGTACACACAATAGAATTTTACTCATCCATTAGTAAGAATGATATCACATCATTTGCAAAGAAATGTATGGATCTGGAAAAAATAATGTTAAGTGTTATAAATCAGTCCCAGAGAGACAAAGGATGCACGTTTTCTTTCATCTGTGAAAGCTAGAGCTAATTTATAAATATGCAAGTAAACACATGTGGGGTTGTATGCAGGTATTCACATATGTATTAACCAAAGTATGGTATTTGCAGGAGAGAATTTAAATGGTATAATTCTTTAGAAAAACAAACTCACAGTCCAACAAAATGAATACCAGGAAACTATTGCTTAAAAGTGTGGGGGTGCCAGGAGCTGGTGGCTCATGCCTATAATCCTAGCTACTCAGGAGGCTGAGATCAGAGAATTGCAGTTCAAAGTCAGCCCGGGCAAGAAAGTCTGTGAGACTGTGATCTCCAATAAACCACCAGAAAACTGGAAGTGGTACTGTGGCTCAAGTGGTAGAGCACTAGCCTTGAGCTGAAGAGCCGAGGAACAGCCCCCAGGCCCAGAGTTTAAGCCCACGACCGAAAAAAAAAAAGTATGAGGGCAAGGTCAGGGGGGTATAGATGAATGAGTTGAAGAAGGAAAGGGAGAATTCAGTCTTAATGCATATCCTATGAAACTAAGAAAATTGAGGGGAGCATTTGCATTGGGGGGATGATGTGGAATGATGAAAGCAGTGGTATTGCTCAGTATGCAGTGTACTTATATATTGATTGGTTAAATGGTAACTCCTTTGTACAACTACTTCAAGATATTAAAATTATAACTTAAGAATGTATTATTTTTTCCATGGAAATATTGTTACAAGATAACTTTAAAAGCTTTATTGAATGAGGAAATATATGACACTCTATGAAAGGAAATGTACTTATTCCCCGAGATATGTAACTGTAACCCCTCTATCACCTCTATAATAACAATAAAGTAAATTAATTATATATATATATATGTGTGTGTATATATATATTTGCCTTTTTCCCCAATGAAGTAACTACATTTCAAAGTTCTAGTTGCCATGGGAATGTTAAAACTGTATTGGTTAGCAGAAGGTATAAATAATGAGTAGCATGGAATTTCAATGTTTAGATACAAAATTTTTTAGATTGTAAGTTGAATAGAGAGACATATAGAAAATAATGTGTATGTTTTCATAAACTTATCCTATAGATACATATACATTTTAATTCCTTTAAAATATTTGTGGTTAGTCTCGATTTTGTTAGCCAGAAAGTACTTACTTTGTTGTTTCTTACTTTTAGGATACCTTTACCATTCACAGTTATTTCATTTGATACTGTCCAATTATCATATAGATTAATAATGATTAAAATAGTCATTGCATTAGTTATTGAAAGTTTCTTGTTCTTTTTTTCTATCATTTCAGAGATATACCTAGAATACCTGATAGCACACATGTACAAATGGAGTCCAGTAAGTTTGATTTTTTTCCCTAGAAGAATATGCTATTGATATTGCTGTTCATCAAAGGCCAAATGAAGTATTTTATTAATGAAATATAAGTACATTTCTAATATCTATATCATCATACAAAGATGAAATATATAGTATCATTTCATGTCTCTGTGGGAAAAAGAACAAAATTCTACACTAACCACAATTGAATTTAGTATGGAGTGTTAGATAGTTTTATTAAGGTATTACAATAAACTGTATGCAGCTGAATTACATAACTAACCAAATTTGCCAGACACATATACCTGTGAAGCCATCATCACAGTAAAAGTTATCACTTTCAGTTTCACTCCCAAACTTTCCTCCAGTTCTAAAGTTTCATGCTTTGTAGCCACAATACTGGTCTGTAGATGGAAATGCTTGTATCAAACAAATTTATAATTATATTTATTCTCATTTATAGTTCTGGAATGTAGAATAGTAGTTTAAACCTAATATCAAAATAGTAATAAAACAATAAAGATATATGTGTAAGTAATTCTAAATGCATAAATTTAATTATTTGAGTACTGTTTCATATCTTAAATTAGTTGTTTTCTAATCAGCTAAGTTTGATTGGAAACGATTTAGAATAGAGTAAGGGATATTGTAACTTAAGAGGAGCTGTAAGTTGAAATATGTTGATTGAGATCATCCAAACTAAAAGAAAGCTTTGGGAAAATGTTTTTGAAAGAGTGTCTGTCTGTAGAAAAGCTTTTTGGATACAGAGATCACATGTTATTGTGCAAGACTGGAAAGTCTAAGGTGCCTTTAAGGAGACATGAAAAGGGCCACTGTGGATGAATTGAGTAAGAGAGAGAACATTAGAAAGGAGGATGCTGGAGTAATGGGCACCCAAGTTACATAATCTTCTGAAGCCACTGTAAAGACTGATTTTTGTTGTTTTCAGTTGCTTCTTGAGGGAATATTTCACATACAATTTTCTACATGTATAGAGAATTCTTTTAAGCAAACGTTTATCTTTTAAAAATTAGCTACTATATTGAAAGTAGGTCAGATGGAGTGAAAGGGTAAGGCAGAAAGACAAGGGAGAGGGTTATTTTAATAATTCAGTGGCAACACAGTGGTGATCATGAGCACATAAAAGAAAGGGTTTTTTTTGTTGTTGTTGTTGGTTATGGTGCTTGAACTCTGGGACTGGATGCTGTTCTTCAGCTCTTCAGCTCAAGGCTAGCGCTCTACCTCTTGAGCCACAGCTCCACTTCCGGTTTTCTGAGTGGTTTATTGGAATAAGAGTCTCACGGACTTTCCTGCTCTGGCTATCTTGAATTGTGATCCTCAGATCTCAGCCTTCTGAAAAGCTTGGATTACAGGCATGAATCAGTCCTTATTCTCTTTATCTCTTGTCCTCACTGTGGTGCTGGGAATGAAATCCATGGTCTCATGCATGTGAAGCAAGTGCTATGTCACCTAAGCTACAACTCTTACTCTGGAGATATCTTTTTTGTTGTTGTTATTTCATGTGATCACCTGACTTCCTTCTTTTTGTAGTCTTTACTGTTATTGTGTTATTGAATTCTACATGTTCTCAACTGTTTTTTTCTCTTTTCTTTACAAAACCATCTTCCTCAAACATTCTTCTTATTTTTTACTTACCTAAATCTTTGTTTGTATACTTTATTAATGTTAAAATGCATAGTTCAGAATTCTAGACCCATAATTTCTCCAGTTTCTTATTATCCTCAGTTCTATCCATTTGTTCCTTTCTCTTCACAGAAAGACACTCATATAAAGAACTACTGGGTGTTATGATTCAGGATTTTTTTTTTTAATACTCCTCACTTCCTTTTGAGAATCTGATTGATTATATTCTTTAAGACATGTTTTACAAAGCTATCTTCTAGAAATTTTTAATGACTTTGGACATTCTAATACTTACATATTTAACATTTAAAATATATACCAGTTTTTAGTTTCTTTGTTGGTTTATGTCTTTGTTAACAATAACAACAAGGAAATCTGTAAGGATATTTCTAATGTTGTGGTTAAGAAATTGGTATATACAATGAAATTTATAGGAAATATGGAAGGGATTCTCAAATAGTGAAGAAAACTACTTTTATTATTCTTTATGTGTTTCAGGTTCTAGCTCATTTGAATCTCAGAAAATGGACCGTCCTTCTATTTCCGTTACCTCTCCAGTGAGCCCTGGCATGTTGAGAGATGTTCCACAGTTCTTATCTGGACAACTTTCAGTATGTAATCTTTAATCTCTCTTTTCAGAACCTTAAATGGTGTTTTAAAGTATTATGCTAGATTTTGAAAAATGAAAATTTCATCTGAACATAATTAGACTTTTAACCATCATTTCATTTTTAATGTTTAATTAGTTGAAATTGCTTTGATTATTGTAATGCTTCTTTATTAGAGTTTGATTTCCTGGAATTGAATGAGAGATAGATTTTTATGAAGTTATCAAAACTACTTTATCTTCATAATTATTTTAAAATGGAAGGTCATGATTTTTTTTCTACACTTAAAAATGACTATAAATTGTCCTAAATGCTTAAGATATGCTAGTGTTGGATTATGTAAAGGTTGTATTTAAAAGAAAAGTAACTATAGATTCTTGTTTCAGCCTTAGTGAAACTTGAAATGAATTTTATAATAATCATATTTTCTATATTTTATTAAAATACAAGGTTGTGATATATAACAGGCTTTAATTCCTAGTTAATTTCCTATTAGGTGATTCCTCATTTGCACATTTTCTAATAAAAATCTGAAAACTAAACTATGCATTTGGAATTATGTACATGTTAGAAGATCTTTGCAAACTTAAGTCCTTAATTAATTAATTAATTTTAGTGGGGGGAATGATAGAACTTGAAGTCGGGGCCTGGGAATTATCCCTTGTCTCTTTTGCTCAAAGCTAGCTCTCTACTACTTTGAGCCACAGCACCACTTCCTGTTTTCTGATGGTTAATTGGAGATGATTCTCACAAACTTTCCTGCCTGGTCTCACTTTGAACCATGATCCTCAAGTCTCGGCCTTCTGAGTAGCTAGAATTACAGGCATTAGTCAACAGCACCTGGCTGAGTCCTTATTTTTATTCAGTTGATTCATTCATGTTCTCTTTGGAGAGTACTGTAATATTTTAATACATTCAAATTTATTCAGTTGCATTAATTTTCAGTAACATTGGTGATTATTACACATGAAACATCTGAGTCCTAAAGTCCTACTTAGGTACTCAAAATTCAAATACTGAATTTGATTGAAAAATTTTATAGTTAAAAACTAAACTAGGGCTGATATTTTAAGAATAATTAGATAGCTTTTTATTTAATCAGCTGAGGAATTCTTTCAGTTTTAGTCAGAAGGGACAGAGTTTTATTTTGCAGAAATATTTTTCTTACAAAATTAGGATACTAAAAATTATTGAAGAATTTAGTAGACATGTCTTTTCTGGAACAATTTTGACCACTCCTGACAATAACAGGAGTTATCTACGAAACTGGAGGGATACTGTTAGTAAGTTTTCTTTATTGTTTTCTAAGTACAGTGAACTTTTTTATTTGAGAGATATAGCCCACAATAAATAGGATTTTTCTACTTATTCTCTTGTGTATATATATATATATATATATATATATATATATATATTTCTCATTTACAAAATTGTGTGATTTCTTCTACTTTCTTTGGAAACTAATAAATATTAGCTTTTTTTGTTTTTTCCCCTCTCATGGGGCTTGAACTCTGGGCCTGGGCACTGTCCCTTAGGTCTTCAGCTCAAGGCGAGTGCTCTACCACTTGAACCACAGTGCCACTTCTGGTTTTCTGGTGGTTTATTGGAGCTAAGAGTCTCATGGACTTCCTCTTTTCTGTCTGGGCTGGCTTTGAACCATGATCGTCACATATTAGCCTCTGTAGTAGCTAGGATTAAGGCGTGAGCTACCAGCACCCGGCTATTTTTTAATTATATTTCTATTTAAATAGTTCATCTTTAAATTACGTTTGGGGAAGCAAGGGGACTGGATGATGCCAGTACACAAATTCTGTGTGTGTGTGTGTGTGTGTGTTTGTGTGTGTGTATGTGTATGTGTTGTGTATTGTGTGTTTTTGTTTAGGTATATAGTTGTTTGCGTTGGTAGGGGAGCATTCAGATTTTAAATTTCTTAATTTGTTATCTTATTTCAAATTCTAAGTGAACTAGGAGAGAAAGATGAGGAGCAAAGGGTTATAATTTAGGGAAATTTCAAACTATTTTTTTCATGACTCAAAATTAATGTGGTATAAAGATATAATTACTAAATACTTAGAAGCATTATAAAGTTGTTTCATTTCTAATATGCTTACTGATGATACTGATGATACAGCCTATAGATTTGAGTGATGGTTTTAAAAAAGTCTATGTAGTAATTTAGTATGCATGCCATTTTATTTTTCTTATGACAGATTCTTATGATTTTAGTGAACTAACTGTATATGTTTTGAAATTATGCACACACATCATTCAAACATATAAAACACAATGGTTATAAATCTTAGGAATATTTATTGTTAGAAATCTAGAAAGTACACCAAAAAAATCAAAGGTAAAAAGTCAGTTATAATCCTGCTGCTAAACTATGACCATTTACAACCTATAAAATATTAAGCAAAACTAAGTTATATCTGTAATGCTCTTTTGAGTTCTATTTTTTCCTATTGTATATAAAACTAACATTGATATATGATACAATTTTGAATTCTGCTTTTTTTCTATAATATATAATGTTAGTACCATGGATTCTGAATCTTGAGTGAACTTTTTCTTGTCATTTTAATAGCTATTTAACATTTTACTTTAACTTAATTCAGTTATATTATATTTGCTGTCTCTGATTTTTTTGGCTGTTTTTTGTTTGTTTGTTTTAACCGAATTAAAGTCCAAGCATTTATTTAAAACATATATGCTAAATTTTGAGCCTTGGTCAGAACTAGGACAACTAATACTATTGACTGTACTGGTCACCCAGAATATGTGTGAACAAGATAGAATATATTTCCTTTTTGTATTACTTATTAATTGTATTCATATTCTTTGCATCCATGACAATACTCAAAACTCTTAACACCCTAAAGGCAATTTTGGTTTGTTGTGATGGTGCACAGGTAAAAGAATGTCAATATGTATTACTCTTTTAGAAAAACTTCAGAAGTCGTAAGACAAATCACATTCTCATTTTCTTCTATTGTACCTGAGTGGGGTTTATTTAGGCCTGTATTTCATTTATAAAACCATTGGTAATGCTTGAGAAAAATATAATTGTATAATATATGAGCTGATCTTCCCCATATATTTATGTCAGTTCATGAACTGATAATTTCTCAAATACAAAATGTATTAATAATGCATATTATATGTGTCTTGATTAATGTCACCCCTTTCATCAGTCTTTGGATAATTGTTTAAGCTTTTGAAAATTCTGATTATCTTTTGAAAATTTGTTTAAAAAATGCTGTGAGCCTAATTTATTTTCTCTTCAGACTTAAATATATGGATATTCCATTAGTATTTTTGGTGGGAAAATCAGCATAAACTCAAATTATGTACCTGGGCTGTATATTAATCTTTTCCTTGACAAATCTCCCTTATTTGATTTTTCTTAAACTTTTGTATTCTAGAATTTAACCATTTTCTCCCTCAGATGATTATTTTTGTAATTGTTAATATTTTAATGTTAGCTTATAGTCGCATTCCTTTTTGAAAGGGTATCAAGAAAAATACAACTTTTAATCTGTGTGTGTGTGTGTGAGAGAGAGATACTAAGAGAGAGAGAGAGAGAGAGAGAGCAAGTGAGCGCATGCTCTGGGGCTTAAACTCAGGGCTTAAAACTTTTTTGCTCAATGTTAGTGCTCTAACACTTGAGTTACAGCTTCTCTTCTGGCTTTTTAGTGGCTAATTAGAAGTAAGATTTTTTTCTAAACTTTCCTGACAAGGCTGGCTTTGAACCACGATCTTCAGATCTCAGCCTTCTTAGTAGCTAGGATTACAGAATTTAGTAACCAGCACCTAGCTAAATCTTTTCTTTAAAGTGAGAAAAGGCTCAGAATTCTTTCTTTCCATAGAGTACATTACACATTCTTCTTCTTCTTCTTCTTCTTCTTCTTTTTTTTTTTTTGGTCAGTCGAAGAGTTTGAACTATGGGCTGGGAAGAGATGGTAGGGGGAAAAAAAAGGAGAAGCAACAATGCTTGATAAGAAATGTACTCATTACCTTGCCCATGTAATTGTAACTCCTCTGTACTGTATTTTCACAATTTAAAAAAATGGAAAAAAAAGAAAGAAGCAAACTCTTACCTATTATGACTTTGAAAGAGACAGAGAGATATCCATATGAAATGTGAGGAATGGGATGGAATATTGATGAAGGAAGTAAAATTAAATCTCTTTAAGTCCTTTCCTAGACCCATAGATATAAGCCTGCTTTTCTTCCTGATTTAACTATGGACAATCCTGAATTCTGATTACTGTATTTCTTAGAAATGGTTTCCAAGTGAAAGAAGAAAGAGATATAAAATTTAATTTCAAGAATTTAAAATAAGTGGATTGACTCAGAACTGCATTTTATTTTCAATTTGTTTATTAGCTTGCTGTTTAAAAATGAGCAAATATATAAACTTTTTTATCTGTTTTCTCACTTGCATGTTGGAGACAATAACAAATACTTTCTTCAGTTGTTAAGAATATCACAAGACAATAAACTTAAACTGTTAATAAAGGTTTGGAAAAAATGAAGAACTATATGAAAATAATGTGATATTGTTATTAATAATCATAACTAGCAATATATAATATTATCTTGAGTAGTAAACAGTAGGTATTTGAAATTCTTAAAGTATGAATCAAACCCAGTTAATCTACCATGTTCTAGCACACAACATGTGCTTTTTGTTTTTTTTTTTTTAAATTCTAGAGCCAATTGGATACTGTTTGGCTAACCTTATGTCATCCTTGAGAAAACACTGTTCTCCCAGATGGCCATTCAGAATAATTCTATATTTTTTCCATCTCATTTCTTTTTAACTATAACTTTTTTTCTATGTACCATTAGCCCTTCATTTTGTGGGTTTTTGTATCTATAATTAACCCAACTGTAAATCAGTGTTTTGAAAAAAAAAAAAATAGTATCTGGACTGAACATGTACAGACCTTTTTTTTTTTTTTTGGGTCCAGTCGTGGGGCCTGAACTCTGGGCCTGGGCGCTGTCCCTCAGCTCTTCAGCTCAAGGCTAGTGCTCTACCTCTTGAGGCACAGCGCCACTTTTGGCTTTTTTCTTTTTGCTGATGTGGTGCTGAGGAATCGAACCCAGGGCTTCAGGCATGCAAGGCAAGCGCTCTACCACTGAGCCACCTTCCCAGCCCCATGTACAGACCTTTGTCTTATATTTGTCCCCTAAATAATACATTCATTTACATTGTAGCAGTTATTACAAGTAACCTAGCAATGCCTTAAAACAGAAGGGAAAATGTATGTTTTACATAATTACAATGCTATTTTATAATAAGGGGTTTGAGCATCCATAGAGTCAGTAGTTGTCAGGGTCCTGGACCCAATTCCCCATCGGTGCCGTAGGCTTTTTAAGGGTAAAATCTATTTCTTAATTCTATAAATTATAAGTATACTTATTTCCAAGTACACAAGCCAGAATATATTATTTTACTCAATCTTAACTCCTCATGCTGACTACATGCTAAAAAATTGATAAATTCTAATATTTTGTATAGCTTTTATATATTTTAGAAGTTAGCAATATCAATTCATTACATGGAAGTACTTGATTAAAATATTCTCATGGATATATTATATTTAAGGAGAGTTTTATGTGTTCATTTGTACTTTTGGTCTTTCAGTTCCAGTGTGTTGTCTTTTTTGGTTTTGTTTTATTGCTTTTTTCTTTAATTTTGCTTACCAGAGCCAAAGCCTTAGTAGAAGAACAACGCCTTTTGTTCCTAGGGTTCAGGTAAAGGCCTTGTCTGCCTGATAGAAACTAAAGTGTGTTTTATCCCCTATTTGTATGTTTTTGGAAAATGCGTAGTAGGAAAACTTCCTTTGGTATGTTGCTCCAAACCATATTATTGTCTTTCAAATCATTTTAAAGCCAGCTTGTAAAATTCTTCTGCATGGGGATTAGAATACTGAAAAAAATTTAAAGAGACAATCTTTTTTTTAATGATTTGTAAGACAAAATACTAAAACTTGTAGAGTTCCAAGTGGCATTAAATGTAGATTTATTGTAGTTATTACTTATGTATGTAACATTTTTTAAAATACCTAATTTTATATTTTTGGACATTTTTCTCTATTTCACTAAGGTTGCTGTCTCTTTAAATCATTCATTATACCACATGACATCTACATTCTCTTGCATTTTCCAAGCAATGAGTCCTTGAGGAGACTGGCAAATATATTTGTACCTTATTTAAAGTATGAATTTAATATGATAAATTCTAAATTTTGGAAAGCAAATTGCTTTGAAAGAAAAAAATGACAATCCAAATAAATTGAATTAAGTTTATTTAATTTTTATTCTGTCACTCCATTTAATTTTACCATAATACTTGGGTACAAGTTATTTGTCTCTTTTCATTAGGAAACCCTTACGTGGTAAAGTAATGTCAATATAGTATTTCTTTTAAGAAAGTAGTATTATTCCTTCCTTGCTTTGCTGCATGTTTTTAAAAATATTTGTTGGTTTTGAATTGTGCTTATTTTATTTATACTTAATAATAAAATCATTCCAGTTAATATTGTACACTATAAAGTATTTATGCTGTTCAAGTTCTACTTAGGAAAATTTAAGTAGTTACATGGTAATGATGAAATAACAGTTATACAATTAAAATGATAACAAGGCTTTTAGTAAAGAAACTAATTGAATATAAGGACTGCCATGAATAGAATTTTGAAGATATATGTTACATTTGAGGGAAAATCACCAATAATATTTTAATTATTTACTCAAAAGTATAGAAAAATTAAGAATATGGTAAAATATCCTATTAAGATATGTTAACTGGATATCTATTAAAAACTTCAATGCATGTGCTGAATAAAAATGAAAATTAGGGTTATTGAACTTAAGGGAACTTATTAACTTAAGGGTTATCCAACTTAAGGCAGCTTTTTAAAATAGATTCATTTTGATCAAATAATCTGTATAATTAAATGTTCTTTTAACCTATCAAATTTATTTCAATACTCATTTATTTGGAAAACATAATTTAGTTAATTATAAAGAACAAGTAAAAATGAAAATCTATCCTAATGTCTATTTCAATGAGAAATGGATAATATTAGCAAGTGATTTTTGTTGTTTTCTTTAGTGTAAGAAAATCTCCAAAGAATACTTATTATCAGATGTTTGATATATAACTCAAGTGTTTAATTTTAATTATTTTATTGAGTGAAATTATTGCCTATGAAGATGGCAACAAGTGCTTAGTGTCCTTCAGAATTCTCACAAATCAATAATTTGCTCAAATTGTTTTTAACCTAGTCCTATAATTGCTATTTCTTTTTCTATTGTAAAATTTTCATTAAAAAAACTTAACCTTTCAGAATATTTTTTCACCCTTAAAAGTTCCTGGTAGTCATATTATGATCATTTGAAAAGAATTTTTAATATCTTGCAAAAATTAAAACTATAAGCATTGAAAATGGAAAATAGAAAATATTAGAAATTTTATAGACCTTGGTCACATATTTTAAAAAATGATGACATTCTCTACATCTCTTTAATCCATGTACAAAGAGACATCTCCTTCATTTCTTTATTTCTTTTCATGACTTCACCAGGAATAGTTTAGTCTCTCATCTCCTCACTTATTCTTCTTTAGATCTATATTCTATTATTGTTCAGAAATAAATATTTGGCCTTTTTCAAATATTAAGACTTTTTCTCCAAGTTATTGATACTTTGGTCTAAGGTCATGAGGATCCTCTGGAAGATTTATTAATTTAAATTCCAAAGTCCCACTCAGATTCAGTAGGTAAGAGGTAGCCCCAGGAATTTATAAGTGTTTACTAAATAAGACAAATAATACTGCTACTGGAGATTTCTTAAATACAGTTTGAGAACACTTGTCTCAGGTGTATTTTTGAGGTTAGTAGCTCTATTAGAAAATCTTTTGTTACATGAAAGCAATAATACCTAAATTGAATGTAGGAATGTACCACATTGTAAGGGCTTATAATTAGAATCTTTAAGATTTGAATATTTATTACTTTTATTTCTAAAAAAGGATAATGCCATTTAGCAAAAATAAATGGAGGGGACAGAAATAATTTTATATATCTTTTTACACTGTCAGCCTCTCATTCTCTAGAATATGAAGTGAGGGACTCCACAAAGCTACCATGGAATTGGAACTGAATCATCAGTGTTTCATATGTAACCAGAATTCATTTTTACTTGTAATTCTCAAGGCTAATTTCTGGTTACATTTAAGTTTCAAGATAGTGGTCAGGGATATGATGAATTATAAACAAAGATATGGATCGAAACCATAGTTATCCTGGATCCTTGTAAAGGAGAATGAGCTAGCTAGGAGCAAAGGTGTGAAGTATGTATGCAGGAGGTCATCACCAGTAAGTCAAAGGAATTCAGTAGTTGGATGTTAAGTTCCAATCCCTCATTTTATGGAACAGCAAAAATTACAAGTTCAAATTGTAAAATGGAATCTCTTTTTCTAAGGATACGATGCATTTGCTTCACAAAAGAAAGCGGGACTTTATGTCTACTAAAATTTTTAAAAGGTGAATTTATTATAGTTTTAAATGCAACCTTATCAGGGGACAATGCATGAAATATGGAAATTCACAATGAAAATCCTTTATACAAGTTATATATGTTAATAAAAAATTAAAGAATACAAGTGGAGGGAATCTATTGACTTAAAGCTGTTTTAAGACCCCTTTGCATATAATCACTGACTTTTTTTTGCTATGGAATAATATAAAACATTTGCTCAAAAATTCCCTCTGAATACTGTATAAATAAGTTATTATCTACTCAATTCATTCTGGGCTCTTATTCTGAACTTGTTATAGGGGAGGCAAAATAAACTACAATGATTCTTGCATAAAGAAAGATACAGAGAGCAACCTTTGTATATAAAGTCCATAATTATGATAGTGTAATTATTGTATGAATGTTAGTAAGCAATTATATTAGAATACAAAAAGCCAAGTGACACTGTAATGTCTGAATTATTTATTTTATTCATTGAAGTTATTATAGTATATCCTTTTTAAATAATCACAGTTCACTGAATGAAATTTAGATTCTATGCTAATATTAGTGTAAGAGAATGGCTTGAAGGTTGGAAATGTAAACGTGTATTGTTAGTAAATATTTGAGCTGATCATGAATATTTTTGCTTTTCAGATAAAATTATGGTTTGACAAGGTTGGTCACCAGTTAATAGTTACAATTTTGGGAGCAAAGGATCTCCCTTCCAGGGAAGATGGGAGGCCAAGGAATCCTTATGTTAAAATTTACTTTCTACCTGACAGAAGGTAGGGATATGCAACAATTTTTTTTTTCTTAAAACTAAGTGGTAAAGAGGTAAAAGCAACCATTGTTTTATAATTCTATATTTGTTTGTGTTATACCTATTAGATTCTTTTTAAGTTAATTTAACATAATTATTCTAGAAATCAAAATAGTGATTGTAATTTGAGATTGTTTTTAAACATCTTTGTTCTGTATTTTATTTTTGATCCAAATTTTGTTGTATATATTTTGTTGTATATATTTTAAGTATATGTAAATTATTTGTAAGCTATTATGTGATTTTTACTTTAGACAATTAAAATTTATGCTCTTTGTAAATCACATTTTTGATACAAGCTATATTGTCATGAACTGTGAAATGGTATTAAAAAGTAGTACTAACTGGGCACTGGTGACTCACGCCTGTAAGCCTAGCTACTAAGGAGGCTGAGATTTGAGAATTACGGTTCAAAGCCAGCCTGGGCAGGAAAGTTCTTGACACTTCTCTCCAATTAACCACCAGAAAACCAGAAGTGGCATTGTGGCTCAAAGTGGTAGAGTGCTAGCCTTGAACAAAATTGCTTAGGGACAGAGCCCAGGCCCTGAGTTCAAGCCCCACAGCTGACTCCCCCCCCCCCCCAAAAAAAAATCAAAAACCCCAAACCAAAAAACTGGTGGGCACTAGTGGCTTTCATTTGTAATTCTAGCTACTCAGGAGGCAGAGATCTGAAGATCACAGTTTGAAGCCAGCCCAAGCAGAAAAGTCTGTGAGACACTTATCTCCAATTAACCTGACTAAAACAACAACAACAAAACCTGGAAGTGGAGCTATGGTTCAAGAGATAGAGTGCTAGTCTTGAGTGAAAAGCTCAGGGACAATGCCCAGGTCTTGACTTCAAGCCCTAGTACCAACATAAAAACAAAAACAAAACAAACAAAATAACATTGTACTTATGGTCTACAACTTCTCCTCCTTTATGAAGATATTGTCTCACTTCATTCTATAAACTTAGTGTTTGTGTAATTCATCACCTAAACTACAAAGAATTCTACAAAAACCTGGAGTCCATGGCTCAACCTTATAGTCCTAGCTATTAAGGAGGCTGACATATGAGAAATGAGATTCAAAGCCAGGCTGAGCATACAGGTATTAACTGGAAACATATTTCACATGGTAGAATACCAGTTGTGAGGAAGAAAGATCAAGGAAGAACATATGGCTTAGAATTCAAGCCTCAGTACCACTACTAAATAAATAAATAAATAACAGAAAATTACTAAGCCCAGATTCAACTTCACGCATTATTTGTTTTGATTCTATTCAACATACATGATATTTTTCTGCCCATATTTAAGCATAAAAAATAGAATAGGAGAAATATGCTGTCAAAATCGAATCTTAATTTGAAGCATATAATAACCAAAGGACCATTCAAAGGGAAGTAATTACCCTTCCCTCGGTTATCTTCATCCCAATTTCTAAGAGAGTGCTCTCAAAATTATGTCATAAGTTTTCAGGTTGGAAATGCTCTGCACAGCTACCACATTTAGCATGTCCATATATTTTTAGACTGTAGTTTACTTATTTACTTAGTTCATTGAAAGCAGAGTTGAGTTGAGTGCCATGGTATCATCTGCATTACAATGAAAAAGGACAAAAGAAATGACATAGTAATTAGCATGGGCCTTACAGTTTATCTGATACATTTTTTTAAGGTGAAAATTCTAGAACAAATTCTTCAAAATAGGTTAAGGTGCCTGGTATCCACAGTTATTGAAAACTGTTTGCTGTATTATTTTATATCATGAAGTTACCCTGAAGAAAATAGTTCTCTATCAACTTAGAATGTCTTTTGGAGGAAAAAAAAAACATATAAACTGTAAGAGAGAAAAAAGATATTCATAATTACAGCTGTCATAAGTATAGACTTCAATTGAGTGGAAATTGTCACACTTAGATTATCATACCACCATTGAGTCATATGGAAACTGGAAACTTCTGAGCTAGACTTCCCATCTATGAGGATGACAAATAATAAATTTGTGAGGAAGTTTTACTTGGATTCTGAGAAATGTTAATAACTAATAAGACAAATCTTTAAATCTTATAGAAGTTCACTCATTGTTTTTTTTTTAATAGTGATAAAAACAAGAGACGAACAAAAACAGTAAAGAAAACATTGGAACCCAAATGGAACCAGACATTCATTTATTCTCCAGTCCACCGGAGAGAATTTCGGGAACGAATGCTAGAAATTACCCTTTGGGATCAAGCTCGAGTTCGGGAGGAAGAAAGTGAATTCTTAGGAGAGGTAGCTCAAATTATTATCATTTTGATTGTTGGTGATACTGGGATTTGAGACTTTTACTTGCTAAGCATCTGCTTTATCACCTGAGCCATTCTTCCAGTCCTTTTTGTGTGATTATTTTCAAGATACGGTCTCACTGTATGCCTAGGTTGATCTGGACTGCAATATTCTGATTTGTGCTTCCCTTTGTTGTTACAAGCATATGCCACTAAGCCCAAACATTGTGCTACTTAAAAACACAATTGACTCAGCCATTGACTGAGATGGAGTCTCATGAATTTTTATACCCAAGCTGGCTTAAATTGCTGTCTCCTAATCTGTACCTCCCAAGTAGCTAAGATTATATAGACTTGAGCCATCACACCTGTCAAGATTAATTTATTTTAAAATTTGCCCTATTCATAGCTTTTTGAATACTTTTAAATTACTAAGTAAAATTATATATGTGTGTGTATATATATCTGAAAAAGGTATTTAACAGAACAAATTTGGTTAATTCTTTAAATAAAATAGAAAACAGCGTTTCTAAGTACTTGCTAAAAAAAACTGGGTGTGATAGTAGTAGAATATACCTAGCTACTAGGGAAGCTATGGGAAGATCATTTTAATCTAAGAGTTCAAAGCTGAGCTGTGCAACACTATTTTTTGTGACACTGTCTCAAAATTTGAAATAAAATAAATGAATTAAAAACTCTATGGCAGGGGCTGGGAAGGTGGCTCACTGGTAGAGTACCTTGCATGCATGAGGCCCTGGGTTTGATTCCTCAGCACCACATAAACAGAAAAAAACAGAAGTGGCACTGTGGCTCAAGTGATAGAGTTCTAGCCTTGAACTGAATTGCTGAGGGACAGCGTCCAGGCCCAGATTTCAGACCCCACGACCCACAAAAACAAAAACAATAACAAAACAACAACAGAAACAAAAACAACTCTATGGTAGTTTTTACAAGCTTATATTTATTAATCATGATAGTGCTCGTCTGGAATCTTAATGTACAGTCAAGGGGATTGTACATTTTAGGCTAGCCTTGGGATAGAGAACAAGACCTTATCTCAAAACTGTCTGAAAAAAACAAAAGGAAAACATGGAGGGAAGAAGGAGAAAGGAGAAAAGAGGATGCTGGAAAAAGGAGGGAAGAAGGAAAGAAGAGAGGAAAGAAAGAAGGGAGGAATTCTAAATGTTGAATGAAAAAGTTTGATTTTTATTCCACATATCTATTGCTCTGATGTGTTGTATACGTTTTATTTAGCTTATTGAATCATTATTCCACTAGTAGGTAATTCAATAATTTATTAGTGGATTATTTTTAAGCCTCATATCAAATCAAGAACTATGCTGGGGCATGAAGCTTCAGTGGTGAATAAAGTATATTGCTTATTTCATAGAATTGATTCATTGGGGATACATATTAGTGAATGGCAATTAAAATACAATTGCTTAAAATGTAATACACTAATTGCTTTAATGAAGAAAATGCAACTGGAAGACAATTGCTGTTCATAAAATGGGGGGTGATTAAAGGAAGTATCCACAGGAAGTAGAATCTAGCAAAGTCTAGAGGAATGATATATACAGTTTTGAACAATTGCTTTGAAATTGTGAGGAGAAAGTGGTTCGCAGTGAGATTTAAGTATTAAATTGGTGCCAGATGATATCCCCTGTATTTTATATATTACCTATTTGTACTTCAGAAAAGTAGAAATAATACTAGTGTATAACTCAAGGTTAGTATCATGATTAAAGAAGTGTGTGTGTGTTGTGTGTGTTTGTGCATAAACTTTGTAACATAGTAGCTATGATTTTGAAAATGGCTAGAGAAAAATTAGAAAGAGTGAAATAATAGATTTTCTGCTCTTTTAACTTTGCACTTAAACATCTCAGTAATTTACTTTCCATACCAGGTCCCCTTAACACAAGTGCAAACTGTATACTTGTTCAGCACTTGAAAAGAAAATACTCTTTGATGTCTACAGATGGTTCCTTGGGTTGCAGACATGGTTCCGGTAGTAGAACACCAAGCCTGTCAGCAAGTTCAGAACACCAAGTTCTGACACCAACGTGTCAGAACCTGAGTTCAAGTCCTTGTCCCAAAGGATAAAAACAGACTGATCTTCACTTAATATTAAGTAAAGTAAGCCAGACCCAAAGAAACATAGGTCACATGGTTTCCCTTATTTGCAATAACTAGTATATATCTGAGACAAGCAGAAATGGTCAGTTAAGTTGATGTTAGGCGAAACGAACTCCAAGATAAGGACTCAAATGTTTTTTCTTTCTTCCTATTGTTTCTAACATATTTATAAGATATTTCTTTGTTGCTTTGTATGTCCCTTTCCCAGGGTACAACCCCTTCTTTCACTGTATTTGATGTCGGTATAATTTGTGGAGGGGAAAGGGAAAACAAATTGTTTAAATAGGGATACAGGTGGACCCATTGCAACAATGAGATGTACAAGACGTTATGTCGAAAAATGAACTTTACAACTTTGGTGCGGGGTGAGGGGGACGTAGGGGGTAGATGGGAAGGGATGGGAAGGGGAAACAAAGGAGGAGGCAACAATGCTTGATAAAAAATGTACTCATTACCTTGCTCATGTAATTGTAACCTGTCTGTACGGTATTTTCACAATTAAAAAAAAATCTTACGTGACCAAAAAAAAAAAAACCAGACTGATCTTTTTTATAATTAAAATTGTTCATATTATATTTTAATTATAAAAAAGAGCAGTCTGTTGATATGGCTTATATTAAAGACCTATCTTTGTAATTTTTATTTTGTGGATATTTAAAAATTGATAGTTGATGATTGTACATTTTCATGTGAATGCTATATAATGTTTCAGTTTTTGATCCTTAGGATGGCAAACGCAGATTTTTTTTTTTTTTTTGGGTTGGTCGTGGGGCCTGAACTCTGGGCCTAGGCACTGTCCCTCAGCTCTTCAGCTCAAGGCTAGCACTCTACCACTTCCGGCTTTTTTCTTTTTGCTTATGTGATGCTGAGGAATCGAACCCAGGGCCTCAGACATGCAAGGCAAGCACTCTACCACTGAGCCATCTTCCCAGCCCCTAAGCGCAGAATTTTGAGCATGCATTAATAAAGATAGATTGATTCATTTTGCTTCTTTTACTTAGAAGCTGGTATGACCTTCAACAGGTGCTTTTAACCCTTTATATTATTGGAATCTTTAAGACAAAACAGTATTTTTTCTGATTATTAAATAATGTGGCATGGTTCTTATAAGTTCTTACGAAGGCTAAATTGCTAACTACAAATAAAAGTGCATCTTAAATTAGAAAATGTTATACGAATATTAGGTACTATTGCATTTTCATGTAAAAATTTTATTTCTGATAAATTTAATATCCTCTAGTATTGAGTGGGTGATAGTTTACAAAACAAGTATCTTAGCTATTTTAAACTATTGAATGATTATCCATGAGCAGGTGGCTCATGTCTATAATTCTAGATACTCAAGAGGTTGAGATCTGAGGATCATGCCTCCAAGCCAGCCTGGGCAGAAAAGTCCTTGAGAATCTTATCTCCAGTTAACCAAAAAACAAAACGAAACAAAAAGCCAGAAATGAAGCTGGAGCTGTGTCTCAAATAGTGTAATGCCAGCCTTGTGTGAAAAAAGCTAAGTGAGAAGACAAGGCCTTGCCTTCAAGCCCAGGTACCACATGTGCATGCGCACACACACACACATATTTAGATCATTTCGAAGTTAGAAAACAATTATCTTTTAGTTACTGTTGAAACATATTTATAGTTTTTCAATACCTAAATAACTTTGCTTTTGATCTGACAGCATTGTTATTGCAATTATTATTAGGAAAGTTTAAGAGAATTTCTTCACTGTTGATGTAACTTTGTCTTTTGGGTTGTAGATTTTAATTGAATTAGAAACAGCATTATTAGATGATGAGCCACATTGGTACAAACTTCAAACCCATGATGTCTCTTCATTGCCACTGCCCCACCCTTCCCCATATATGCCACGAAGACAACTCCATGGAGAGAGCCCGACCCGGAGGTTGCAAAGTAAGTTTTCAGCAGAATGTACCATATTTTTATTGATTCCCCCCCCCCAATCTTTAGTGCACATATCACAGAAGGTGGAGGTATCCTTGTGGATTTTTAACAAGTATCTATTAATATCCTCACAGCTATTATTGAGGCTTTCAACTGACATACTAATGTGGTTTTATCTATAGCAGTAACTCATAAAATAGGATTAGGTAGCTAATATAGTAATATTTCTACTGAGATCATGAATGTGAGTTAAACTTTTCAAATGCTTTCTCTACACCTATTGAAATAATTTGCAGTTTATAGCTTCAATATATGTAAAGGAACACCTGAGAGAAAATTTAACAAAGCCATTTCTTTTCTTTTTTTCTTTTTCTTTTGCCAGTCTTGGGGCTTGAACCCAGGCTTGGGCACTGTTCCTGAGCTTCTTTTGCTCAAGGCTATCATTCTACCATTTGAGCCATAGTGCCACTTGTGGCTTTTTCTGTTTATGTGGTACTGAGCAATGGAACCCAGAGCTTCATGCATGCTAGGCAAGCACTCTATCACAAAGCTACATTCCCAGCTCTAACAAACCCATTTATATTAAAGGAAGTGCCAATATATTTCCATGTTCATCATTGGTAAGTCAGAAAATAAATTTTCAAGAAAATACAAAAGACTAAAAAAACACACATTACAAGTTTAATCTCATTGTTAAATGGAGTTATCTGTAACTAAAATTGAATTCAGTGGTCCACACTGTTAAAGGCAAAATTCCCACCAAGTATGTCTCTTGGAGCAAGAAATTTATACAAGCCAGCTGGAAAGGAGATAAACAAGACTTCAGTCCTAGGTGCAACTCCAGCCTTGGGACATCATGTCCTGTCTCAATATAAATGCTTCTTGGCCTGGTGCTGGTGGCTCACACCAGTAATCCTAGCTACTCAGGAGGCTGAAATCTGAGGATTGTGGTTCAAAGCCAGCCTGGGCACCACCAGAAAATCAGAAGTGGCTCTGTGGCTCAAAGTGGTAGAGCATTAGCCTTGAGCAAAAAGAGCTCAGAGACAGTGTCCAGGCCCTGAGTTCAAGCCCCATCATGACCCCCCCTCCTTCCCCCCCAAAAAAGAAAAAAAAAGTGCTTCTTGCTGAAACCTTCCCTGGGATTCTGTGAGTGTTGTGGCTCCCATGTTATGTATTTTAACCGTAAGGTGTTTAACTCTTCTTTTGAAGTTTTGGCCAGTTTTCTAAAAATGCACCTTGAGAAAGAAACTTCTAACATTGATTTTTAAAAACAAAACAAAACAAAAACACAACTCTGAGGTAATCAATACCTGACACACACACACACACACACACACACACACTCAGATTAACAATCTCAATGATATATACTGATTTTTTTCAGACATTTAATAACCGCTACATTTTTTGCATTAATGAAGTATGTGTAAAAGGGAGTAAATACTCATTTTGCTCCTTTTTCAAATAGTGTTATGTCTTCTATGTATGTAGACTCATACATCCTATTGCCTAAGTATGTAGGTAAATGTACTGATAAACCAGAGTGCTACTTAAAAAATAATAATTCTTTGATTTGTAAAAAAAAAATTGAATTCAGATTCCTCTATTCTATCCAAAAATATTTATAAAAAGTTTTGACATACTATTCCACAATTCATTCTTTAAATCAATTTCAAGTTGACTAAAAATAGCCTATATTCTCCAGTTGTATTTTATTTTACTAAGCCAATTGCAAAGAGATAAATTAGGAACTTTTGTAGTAATAAACATTTTAAACTCTGTCATCTCAGAAATGATACATCATTCAATTGCTATAATAGAAATCTAGAACATGATATATAATAAATAATTTATACTCACAGAAGAAAATACCTAGAACTGAATTTCAATCAATGTATTGCATAGAAACATTTGACTAATGCAGGGAAATGCTGAGAGAGGAATGCTTATGTTCAAAGCCATGAATAGTCTTAATTTATGGTGTGTTTACCTAGATTAAGACTTTAAAAAGAGGTTTGTGAAATAATTCGTGTTGGAAAGCATAAAAAGTATAAAGTTGATAAATTGAGAAACCTGTAATTGATAGGTTTATGAAGGTTAGTAGTTAAGCTTTGGTAACAAATAGCAAACTGTTAATGAAATTTATTAATAAAATAAAAGATGGTAGGAATGGCAGTAGGGGTGACTTTGATCAAGAAGCATTATGCTCCTATTTGACTTGTTGAATTGAAACCCCTTTGTACTACTACTTAAAATGAATGAATGAATATAAAAAGAAGGAATAAGAAATGAACAAATGCATATAAGTATCAGCCTTTTAAAAATCTCTAGAGATTGAATTTGAGAAAATACACGAGACACTTCCGAATTGTCCTTTTTGTCTATAACATGAAAAATAGAATTGGGTATATCGCCGGGTGCTGGTGGCTCACACCTGTAATCCTAGCTACTCAGGAGGCTGAGATCTGAGGATCGCGGTTCAAAGCCAACCCCGGGCAGGAGAGACCGTGAGACTCCTATCTCCAATAAACCACCAGAAAACCGGAAGTGGCGCTGTAGCTCAAGTAGTAGAGTGCTCGCCTTGAGCTGAAGAGCTGAGGGACAGTGCCCAGGCCCAGAGTTCAAGCCCTACAACCGACAAAAAAAAAAAAAAAAAGAATTGGGTATATCGGATTTCTTAGCCATACATATTAGGAAAACATACATTAATGAATGACAGGCCCTAGTGACTCATGCCTGTAATCATAGCTAGGATTGAAGTTCAAAGTCCAGGAAGAAGAGTACCTGAGACTCTTTTCTCTAACCAACTAAAGCCAGAAGCAAAAAGAGCTCAGGTACGGTGCCTAGGCCCCAAGTTCAAGCCCCACAATGGGGAGCGGGGAATAGATACATTAATGATCTTGAACATACATTACTTAAGTCTTGAGATTTAACTAGACTTTGGTAGACAACTGGTTTAGTTTCCAATAGACTTTACCAATTAACATCAAGTTATTTTACATAATTATCTCATACTTAATTTTTTTTGAGTCAGGGACTATGCCTAGGCCCTGAGTTCAAGCCTCACAACCAAGAAAAATTATTTTATTGTTATTATTAAGGTGTTGCACAGAGGAGTTTCGTAAGTCAAGTAATGAGTACATTTATTCCTGTGAACAATGTCACCCCTTCCTTTACTTTCTCCAGTTTCCTCCTGACATTATTTTTCTAAATAACTTTCATATTATTGTCATGATTTGCTTCATAGGATCAAAGAGAATAAGCGATAGTGAAGTCTCTGACTATGATTGTGATGATGGAATTGGGGTCGTTTCAGGTAAGATTTTTAGGATTATTTTATTATATTTTATATAGTGTTTTGACTATAGTGTTTTATAGTGTTTGAGCTCACACTTTACTCGGATCATCCTGGAGCATTATGCTTCCAACTTAATTGGTCTTCCTTTATAGTATAGCCCTGTATATTGTTGACTAGAATTCCCTAGAACCACAATCTTATTGATGTTAGCCTCTACTAGAGACAAGAGGCATAAATCACCACAGTCAGCTATTATTTGAGAAGGGTTTTGCATAGTCCATCTTAAATCACAGTCCTCCTATTTTTAGCCTCTCAAGTAGATAGGATTGTAGGCATAACCTACTATGCCATGCTGTCTACAGTATTTTAATAACATTTATACTCCTTGAATTCTTTCTGTATTAGAAATTTGAAATGATCATCAAAATCAAGATCATTTTACTTTCTGTGATTACTATATTTTAATAATAGTTATATTCCTTGAATTTTTCTGTATTAGAAATTTGAAATGATCATCAAAATTGATGTCATGGTATTTTACTTTCCATAATTATGATGTATGTAGTTTCTTAGCTCATTAATAGAATGTAGCCAGTACTTCATAATCAAAACTTATACCAGCATATGTTGATTTTGTCAAATGTTATTCTTACAGTTCCTTTTCTTCATTGAGCTTTTTAATGCTCTATATTTAAAACTAATTTCAGTAGAGAATAAGTGGTTCTATCCATAGTTTATCAAATAATTGCTACTATACTATTCAAATAATATGTTACCTAGAAAAATTGTTGTGTTGGTTTATTTCAGTACTTTTTACTCTGTTCCATTTTCTGATCAATATCACAATGTTCTGATAGTTTAACTTTGTATTGTCTTAAAATGTTGAGTAGTCAGTCTATTGACTATTCTGTTTTTTACATCTCCATATAAATTTTAAAATCATTATCATGGTGGAGTTTTGGTTAAGATTTAATTGGATTAAACATCTCAACAACACCGAATCTATCTATAGACCTGGACTACCTCACAATATATTTAATTATTTTTTCTATTTTTTCATTATTGAGTTTTATTGCTTTCTTTATATTGACATTGTACATAATTTCATAGATTACACCAGTTTTATTTCATTGTTTAAGTGTGTGTTATTAAAATGCTATTGTGGTTTTCATTTCAAATTCTAGTGGGTTTTTTTTTGGCAAAGGGGAAAGTGATTGGCTTCATATTTTAAGTTTATATCCTACATCTTTGTTATAATCAATTATTAAATCCTGAAGGCTTTTATTCTCCTCTAACAGTCTGGTTTTTGTTTTGTTTTGTTTTTTTTGTCAATAGGGAGCTTGAACTCAGGGTTTAGGGCACTGCCCCAATCTCTTTTGCTCAAGGCTAGTGCTCTATCATTTTGAGCCACCGCACCTCTTTTGGTTTTCTGGTGGTTAATTGGAGATGAGTCTTTTGGACTTTCATACCTGGACTGTCCTTGAACTAGTTTCTTTTTACAGTTTCTTTTCTTCATTGAGCTTTCTAATGCTCTATCTTTAAAACTAATTTCAATAGAGAATAAGTGGTTCTATTAATAATTTATCAAATAATCAAATCTGATTCTCAGATCTTAGCCTCCTGAGTAGTTAGAATTACAGGTGTGAGGCACCAGTGCCTGGCACTGTCTTTTTACTAGTGTACTTATACCATCATATCCTCATTTAGTAATCATATCATAACCCGGGCACTGGTGGCTCACACCTGTAATCCTAGTTACTCTGGAGGCTGAGATCTGAGAATTGCAGTTCAAAGCCAGTCCAGGCAGGAAAGTCTGTGAGACTCTTATCTCCAATAAGCCACTATAAAACTGTAAGTGGCATTGTGGCTCAAGCGGTAAAGCTCTCACCTTGAGCTGAAGAGCTGAGGGACAGGGCCCAAGCCCAGAGTTCAGGCCCCACAACCGACCAAAAAAAAATCATATCATCATGCAATATATAGTATATTATTATCTACCATATTTGTTAGTGTTTTATACTTGTTGCCTTTCTAAAGACTTGAATATTTATCCCTTTTTAATTACAGTTTACATAGTATTTTTCTTAATATGTTATGCTTTATTATACTTTACATTTATTTCAACATCAGCTTCATCAGTATTTATTTTTACTAGGAAAACACAAATGGGTTGTTATAGATAATTTTGCTTTTTTATTTTTTTGCCTTTAGATTATCGACACAATGGTAGAGATCTTCAGAGCTCAACATTATCAGTACCAGAACAAGTAATGTCATCAAACCATTGTTCACCATCAGGGTCTCCTCATCGAGTAGATGTTATAGGAAGGACTAGATCATGGTCACCCAGTGTCCCTCCTCCACAAAGGTAATGTGGCAAATATATTTTATTTATAGCATAGAACTACAGCATAAGAACAAAAAAAAAATCTCAAATCAGAACTATCATCTGACTCCGTCATCCCATTATTAGGTATGTGTTCAGACAAAAGTCAGGGTATTATAGTTATCTACAATGCTTAATGTAGTATTATTCAATATGTCCCAGTAATAGTAACAAAAATATGAAATCAACCAAAGAATCTATCAGTAGATAAATGGAAAGTTGGTACATTTTTAATCTAAAAAGGAAGAAAAATGGTACATGTAAAACATGTATAACCTTAATATACTGTAGGTGGAATGAAATAAATCAGATACTTTATGACAATTACTATATGATCTAACTATATATAAACTATATATAGTTATGGAAACCTGAGTAAAATAGTGGTGATTTAGGCTAAAAGGTGGCATAGGGAAATGTTGGCCAAAAAGAGAACATTGTTAGGAAAAATCATTCAAGGAATATATATAAATGTATAGCAAATAATTTATATAATATAAACATTTATATAATAATATATTTACTATATATAATATATTGCATAATATAGTTAATATGTAAATACATTTAATATTTTAATAATATACTTAAAACATAAATAATATTATATAGAAATACATAATACAGTGTTACATGTTATAGTATATAATTACATTAATTCTATATAATTAACTTAATTAGGTAATGATTATATTCATTACATTATATATAAAATATCTGTTGTATTAACATATAGAGTAGAACACACAACATCATATATTTTATATAGTATATAATATATTAAGGTATATACATAGGTGTATATGTTTACATATGCTAGCTTATCTATATATGCAAGATTTTAAATTAACTAGCAACTGCTATTTATACTTTTAAATATAGGTATAAGTAGTTAAAAATGGACTAGATATAACTATGACTCTATGTTCATATTTTTAATTAATGTACTTTATTCTAACAGTTTATTAGCATATATAATAGATTGTTTTGTTTTTTTTTTTGAAATAGGAATGTAGAAAAGGGTCTTCGAGGGACACGTACTACCATGGGACATTATAATACAATTAGCCGAATGGATAGACATCGTGTCATGGATGACCATTATTCTCCAGATAGAGAAAGGTAAATATCATTAAGTACCATTAGGCTTTATTTATGATCACTTGTCTTCAGGAAGTAGCTTCCTTAAAATGCTTTCATTTAGCCTTTATTTTATTTTCTAAAACCACGTTTCTTCGTTATCATGTCCATATTCTTTCTTAAAACTTCCACCATGCCAAATACAATAAAACAAAAGCAAGTTTTTTTGTTGTTCCCATCCTAGTCGTTGAGCTCAGGCCCGAGGCGCTGTCTGTGAGCCTTTGTGCTCAAGACTACCACTTTACCACTTGAACCATAGTTAGGTGTTTTGGTACTTAATTGCTTCCCTGCCCTGACTGGCTTCAAATCGTGATTTTCAGATCTCAGCTTTCTGAGTAGCTAGGATTATAGGCATGCGCCACCATCATCACGCACACAAGGAAATTATTTTAGTAAGAAGAGAACAAAGCCAAGCCAAGCATTATGGCACATATCTTTAATCCAAGTCCTCTGAAAGCTGAATAAGAGAATCAGCTGAACTATAGAGCAAGTGCTACTTTTATACCATAGCACGATCCTGTTTCTAAAAAACAAAAATTTCATTTAGCAATTTTGGTCCTTTTTTAAACTAGCTAACTTAGTGAATTTGCAAAAGAAATTACAATTTTTATAATGAAAACAAGAGTTTTATTATTTTATGTTATAACAGTGTATCATATGTGATAGCCTTCCATGAGATAATAGATTTTTAAAGACTTTATGTACATTAGAGAAATCAATGTGACTTTTCAGAGTCTTGTTTGTCTAGGAAGTACTTTATTATGATTCATGGAGATGTTTTTCCTCATGGCTTTCAGTAAACTGTTTAAGCATCTTAAAGAATCATGTTTGTAGCTGTATTTGGAAAAATTCTCTTGAGTTTGCTCCATTAATATGACAAACTTGGAACTAATATAGCATTCTATTAATTACTACCAATTTTAAAAATGATTATAATTCATGCTTTGAAAAATTACTGATTATTTTTCCCAAACTCGCCAATGAATTTAAGATGAAGAAAGAAAGCTGAACATTCTGTGTAGAAATTGTAATAAAATAGAGTGGGAACTTACATATCTTTGGGTGTGTATCCTAAACCAGTTTTAGAAAACAGATAGGGATTTTAAAATAAAGTAGAATAAGAAATGATTGTTAATATGTCTGAGAGTAATTATTTTGTTTGAATCTAGATTTATATTCAAATAATGCTTATAATTTCATTGTGGTTTAGTATACTTCTCCAAATGAAGGTAGTGGATGTCTTGGTCCTCAACAGTGTCAAAATAAGGGATTTTTATATGTAGAATTTAAGAAGAAATGGAAACATTCCTATATTTATAGTATTAGATTAGGAAGGAACATTTATTGTATTAGTGTGAAATGAAGTTTTGCCTTCTTGTAGTGATCTGTGCCTGCCTTTAATGGTGATTATAGGTGATTATAGGTGTTACCTATAGAATATGATTTTTATCAAATACAATAACAGTGAAAGAACAATTACTATGTGGCATGGTTGAAAATTGGAAGTACTGTCGGTCGCCAGTGGCTCACACCTGTAATTTTAGCTACTCAGAAGGCTGAGATTTGAAGATCATAGTTCAAAGCCAGTGAGGGAAGGAGTCTGTGAGATGCTTATCTCCAATAAACTACTCAGAAAAGGCTAGAGGTGAAACTGTGGCTCAAGTGGTAGAGTGCTATCTTTGGGCAAAAGTAGTTCAAGCAAAGCACACAGGACTGGCACACACAATAAAAGGCTTTAAATTAGCTCGATTAATAGTTATTTGGGTTGTTATTTTGATTACCTAATAGAATTTTAATAAATTTATTTTAAAGCAAGTCATACATTTTATGTTTATTAAGGATTTCTTAATGAAAGGATAAAAAGAGGAAAGTCTGAAATCACTTTACATTTTGTTTTCAATTTTGTGTAAAGTGACCTTTCATTAAAACTTGACTTTTTTTACTGAAAGCAAGTAAGTATGGTCAAAATCCTGCATAATATATTATACCTAGTCGCATTTGCAATTTGAGCCTCGATAATGAATCCTTTGTATTATATAGTAATATAAAAAATTTATGTATGTAATTGACATATTGTTCCATTTTCTTGTTTTATTTTATAATTTATGAAACTTTTAACAAAAATGTTAACGTAATTATCTCTAGATGTTTTGGAGAAATTTGATTTTAGTAGTCTTTTGGCATGATATAGAGATGACTAGATTGTAGTTATTATTAATTGGAAGATGCCTTAAGTCCTTTTTGAAGTAAATAAAATAGAATTTCATTTCAAGTTGAAATATAAAGAATTTTTACTATTATTGTGGTTTAGCTGTATAATCATTATGATAAACAGAAATCTGAGGTAAAAAATTATATTATTGTATATTCTTGTATGTACACTGTTACATTATTAAATAATGGTACCTTAATTTCAAATACCCTAATATTCTCAAGGAATTTTAGTCATAAAAATGTGTGTGAAAGTATTATAGTTTTAATGTTTTGTTTTGAAAGTGAGTATAATAGAGAATTCCTGGATGAATTTTCATGAATAACATTTCATAGATTTGTGATGGTTAACCTTCATTACCAGCTTATTTGGACAGAAAGATACCTTGGAGATTTGTAAAACATACTTCTGGATGTGTTTCTGATGATGTTGCCCCCCAAAAGAACTAAGTGAGGAAGACCTACTTGAAATGTGTATGACATCACTCAGTAAGCTGTGGGCTGATAGAATAGAATGGGAGGAAGAAATCAGTTAGTTACAGACCTTCTTTCTCTTTCCTGGCTATCATGAAGTATACTATTCTGCTCTGCCATGGAATGAAGCTATGAACCAAAATTAAATCCTTCTTCCCTTTTTTATGCCAGGTATTCTGTGGCTGTGGCAGAAATCTCACTAATGCAACAGATAATCTACTATACTGTTGATTTTAAAAGCTATGAGAGACTTTTTCTTGAGAAACTAATTTAGGCATTTGAGAGAAACATTGGCCTTTCCTGTCAAACAGAATGGATTTGTAGGATTAGAATATTAGCTTATTGAATATACCATTTTTTCATAGAATTTGGATCTTGCTAACTATGTATTTGGGGATATTAATCTCTCTGACATTTAATTTCCTTATCTATAACATTATAATAATACCAACTTTATAGGGCTGTTTAACCAACATAATACCTCCAGTTCCATTTTTATAATACTCATCAGGTAGCCAAGTACCAAAAAGTGTAGCATCTACCCATAATTATTTCACCAAGACTTGCATTGTATATACTCAAACAATGTATCTTAACCTTAATGTTTTAAAAAGATGTTTTGACTTATAAACAATTTATATTTAATTTCTTAATTAAGCATAAATAAGCTGGCTTATAATCCTAGCTATTCAAGATTTAAAAAGATTGAAGTTTAAAGCCAACCTGGACAGGAAAGTCCATGAGAATTTTATCTCCAATTAACTACCAAAAAGCTGGAAGTGTAACTGTGGCTCAAGTGGTACAGCTTTAGCCTTCAGCAAAAAAGCTCAAGGACAGTATTCAGGCCCTGAATTCAAGCTCCAGGACTGGCACGTGAATAATAATAACAATAATAATAATATTAACAATAATAAATCACAAAAAAAACAAGAGGAAATGGTCAATGCAGGTATTTTTAAAAACGTAGAATTTAAGACCTCACTTGCAACTCTGAGGAATGGACATGCTTATTCAAGCAATTACAAGAGAAGAGAGAGAGGCAGAACACATACTCCCATCATACAGGCCCACAATGTGAGCACATGTTGCAAAGTCTTATGTGAAAATTGGCTGTATTGCTGAAAAAAACATTCTATTTGACATTAAACAATAGTACTCATTTAAACTTAAATGGTGTGATATCTATATTCTTATAATAGGTAATATAAAGTAATTGTATATCAACATTTTATTGGATTTTTTATTCTCTTTATCTTACAGTATCATTAGTAAAAATCTTACCCTGTTTTGAAAAGAAAATAGATTTTTTACAAACAATTCAGAAATGTACCTGAATGAATATTAGTTAATATAATGACTTGTGAAGAGCATCTTATATCTTCTCTATTCCATCTCTTGCAGCATTCTCTCTCTTATGAATCATGTTAACTACTACAAGTAGGAACATAATTTTCCTGGGATAAGATGTGACTTTAGTATTGTCTTTATAAGCTGATTTACTATCAAGTATGCATAATACCAGATAATGTTTTTATTATATGTCCTGGAATATGCTTTTTAATGTTTGGTGCTTTTATTATTGGATACGTTTATTTCCTTGAAGTGTACATTTAACACCAGCATTTTAAGAGTATTCTAAGAGGAATATGTCTTAAAATATGGAACCCTGGAATGTCTCACACACATATACCATTTTTATTTTTATTTTTTGGTTGGTCGTGGGGCGCTGTCCCTCAGCTCTTCAGCTCAAGGCTAGCGCTCTACCACTTGAGCCACAGCACCACTTCCGGTTTTCTGAGTGATTTTTTGGAGATAAGAGTCTCACGGACTTTCCTTCCTGGGCTGGCTTTGAACCGTGATCCTTAGATCTCAGCCTCCTGAGTAGCTAGGATTACAGGCGTGAGCCACCGGCGCCTGGCCACATACCATTTTTGTGTTCTGCATTAGGCAATCAGCTATTGTGTAGTGTAACACATACTCATAAATGTTTAATCAATACTCTATTTGGTCCTTTCAATTAAGAGCTATGAGGGAACTATGTCTCAGAAAGTGTAAAATTATTGGTAACATGGAAACAATAGGTTTCAGTTTATCAAGTAATGATCTTAAATGTAACACTTATGCACATAATTTCAATGAATCATACTAAGAATATTGTTGCAACTGTGAAGCAAAGCATGAACAACATTAAAGACACAATATAAGTTGTCATTAATTTGATGTAATTGGAAACAGCTTTGAATAATTATGGGTTTCTAAAAGATATAATATTTATCCACATTTTTCAGTGGTTATTGTGTGTCTGTTGATTCCTAAAAGGAAACATTTAAGCAAATTTAATATAGAAGATAGATAATTCATTATAATGATGAACATGAGTATTTTGTGTTCTCTTAAAGATTATATTGCTTAAAATCAAAGTGTATGTAGAAATTGGATTAGTAAGTAGTTCCAGTTCTTTAAATAAAAATATTTTATTATGATTTTTAGAATTTGTAACTTACTTGATGATGATGATTATTATTTTTGTGTGTGCGCCGATACTGAACTCAGGGTCTAGGCACTGTCCCTGAGTTTTTTGTTCAAGGCCACACTCCTACCACTGGATCTAAAGTTTCACTTCCGGCCTGTTGGTAGTTAATTGGAAATAAGAATCTCATAGCCTTTCCTGTCCAGGTTGGCTGTGAACTGTGACCCTCAGGTCTCAGTCTCCTGAATGGCTAGAATATATCAGGCATGAGCCATCAGCACCAGGCTTTCTTTTTCTTGTTAAAAATTTAGTGAGCTAACTAGTTTTCTATTTTTTTTTTACAATGAATTCCTGTACTGTTCACATTTTTAAAAAATTTCACAGACATTTTAGCAAAAATACAAGTTTTAATAACTTACAATCATATTCGAGTCCTAATTCATGTTAATTGACCAGCAGTTCAATAAAAATGTACAAAATATTCTCTTACATTAAATAAAAACAAGAGCTTTAAATACATCTTGGATTTTAGAGGGCTTAATTAGAACATAATGTCAAATTTTCTGTAATGTTCATACATGTATTTTCATAGTTTTCAATAGAAAGTCAAGGAAAAGATATGGCCAAAAGATTAAGCATTAACATGACTAGTGACAACAAATCAATTATTTAAAAATATATCTTTGGCATCATTAATTATTAACAGTCTTCAAGGAAAATACTAGAAACTGGATGATGATATTGTACCTATGAAATTATACACTTTCAGAAGCCTTGATATTTATATTTTTCTGTTGTTCTTAAGTATTTCCTCAAGAAATACTTAATACTTTGAAGCAATAAATCTCAAAATCACAGTTGTTGAGAATTATTTCTACTGTTCATAAAGTTGAGATATGGGGGAGGGTTGCTTTCTTACTTTTATTTATTTAATACTACATAGGCCTGAAATGTTTTGTCTACATTTCTAGAAACATTTTTTATGATTACATGAATCATTACTTTCTTTGGAAAGATTTAAGATGGCAGTGGTATAATTTTGGTTTTACTTATAATTCAACAAAAATATAACATTGAGTGGTTTTAAAAACAGCATGATCTAGACAGATACATTATCATTGGTTGACTAACTATACAATATCAAAGACCTGGAGGCTGAAACATATTATCTATTATAATGTTGCATTTACTACAATAATATGCTTGGGACTGATTAGGAAGAAAATTACTTGTTGGTAATTAAAAAGAACTTCAAAGAGGGTCTGGGAAAGTGGCCCAGCGGTAGAGCGCTTGCCTTACATGCATGAGGCTCTGGGTTCAATTCCTCAGCACCATAAGCAGAAAAAGCCGGAGTGGTTCTGTGGCTGAAGTGGTAGAGTGCTTGCTAACACGACTGACAAAAAAAGAAAGAAAAGAAAGAAAAGAAAAGAAAAGAACCTCAAAGAGGAGACCAATTTTAAACACAGAGTAAAGTTTTCAAAGGCAAAGAAATGGAAGAAGGGGGATGATAGGAATTTTTAGAGATTGATGAATCCAAACAAATGTTGGAAACCACATGATATATTTAGAAAGTATTAGTTAGTCTGTCATATCAAAGGTATTGCCATGAGGATGAGAAGTGTGGAAGATGAAGACTGAAAGTTAAGTTAAAACTTTTAAGAAATTTATGCTTTTTTCTTGATATTGGAAACCATTGAAAGATTCCAACTGAAGTACCTATGTAGTCAGAAAGCATAATTTACAGATGTATGTTTTTTTGTAGCTGGAAGGAGAGGGAAGGGAAGGGAAACCCAAGGGAGGATTATGCAGGTTAACATGTTAAGCTTGCTTTGTGCAGTTGCAAGAGAAAAGGAAAAGAAGGAAGAAATCTGAGTGCTTTCTAGATATCAGAGCCAGCAATTTATAAATCAATTTAATGTTGAAAGTAAGGAGTGGAGGAGTTAAATTCTGAAGCTTTATATAGCCATACTAGCTTCCAAAGGGGTTAAATGACTAATATTCAAATTAAAAATGACTTTAGAGATTTTGTGGGCCTATGTTCAGAATAGGTAACTGAGTGGCAACTATGGTAGGTAGTTATGAAGCCAGATGTGTAGAGATCTAGACTTCTCACTCCCACTGTAGCCAATCATTCTGATTTTACTAGATATCTATATATTGATTATACTTATAATTTTGTTTTCTCCTTAAAAGAAATAGAATGAGAAGGAAGCAGAGGAAGAGGTGGAAGAGGAAAAGAGCAGGAGGGAGAAAGAGATGGAGAAGGACTTTGAAAAGTACCGTTCCATCCCCTTTATTTCATAGCACCATATGTACAGAGAGACAAAAATGTCTTATAACAAATAAATGTTTTTTTAGAGTGTCTACATGATAGTGAAACATGTGGAAATCCTAAGAAGCCAATTTAATATGCTGTGTAACACCCCTACCCCAAATAAGACTAAAGAAAGACAATAGTTTACCTATTATTTTGAAAAAAATAATAGGTCAAGGGATTATAAGAATTATAGGTCAAGGGATGAGTTTTGGAAAACCATCACTGCCTATAAAGAATGTTTATAACATATAAATAAGTACTTTGGTTGGTATGCAAATGTAGATAAAAATGTGTTAACTGAAAATACGAGGAGAAGGAGAACTCAAAAATAGTGTAATTCCTAAGAAAGGCAAAGTCATAGGTCAACAAAATAAACACCAGAAAACAGGTACTTGAGAAGAGTGGAGTCAAGGGCAAGGAGGTGGATGAGTGAAAAGAAGTGGGAAGACTGTAGTGAAAAAAAAATTAAGTTTATATCCTACAAAATTAAGAAAAGTGAGCGAAGTGGTGGGTTGGTATGCATGGGAGAGACTGTTGAAAGAGGCGACATTGATCAAAATGCATTGTTTTCATAAACTGCTTTGTTGAATGGCAACTCCTTTGTACAACTACTTAAAGATAAAATTATTTTTTAATACAGAGAAAAAAGTATAGAGAAATGGAATTTAGTCTGTTATATTGGTAAAAAAAAAAAAAGCTGTCAAGTATTATATATAAATGTTAAGAGCTTGTGTTTCAAATTTTGAAGTTCTTAGTTGAAACCAAGATCTGATACGGCTTACTGTATGAACAATCACTTAAGAGTTTCACATTAAATGTGGAAATACTAGAACCTGCCTCAAAGAGTTGTTAGAAAAAGTAAATGAGTTAATGTAGACAAAACTTAATATATAGAAAAGTGTTAAGCTGGGTTTAATATCTAGAGAGAATACTGTTTCAGAAAGCAAGAGAGGATAGTGTTAGGAAATAGAGGTTTGAAAATCAAAGCCTAATACCATAGATATGATTAAGAGGGACAAAAGGATGTTTTCAGATTTCATAGGAAGCAATTAGTTATCTTTAAAGTTAGATTTAAAAGAGTAGGAGAGTCAGAAGTCTACTGCATTAACATTAACACTTAAGGAGTTAGGAAGACATGACAAAATTGTAACTGTCTTTCAAGATGTTTTATCCTGAAGTGTGATTAATGTGATGCTTTGAGATGGGTTCATGACTGTTAAAGGTCTCAATTTTAATCTCTAATGAAGAAGGGAAGCATGAAGGAATAATGGTTGAAGCTATATCATGTGATGAGCAAGTAGAGGTATTTCTTCTAGTGCAGACTAGTGCAGAGAGAATGATAAGATATATTTACTCTATATTTAGAGAGAGAATTGTGGTTCAAGGTTTTCTTGCATTGTTTTATGGAACAGTGATCATTGGCCATGATTGTTTTGGCTTTAAAAGTTTTAAGAAAGCAGACAATTTGAATTAGTGTCACAAAATGAAGATAATAAACTTTAGATAGGTAAAAGGTCAGTGTTTTTTAGATTGCTATGATAATCATGAAACATGAATGTAACAGAGCCAAAAGCATAAAATAAATATAAAAGAGGCATGGCGAATGGAAAATAGGATAGCATATAATAAATTTAATAAACAACATAACCAAATGAAATAACGTACTTATTAATTGGAGTGTTATTTTTATTCAGGAGGAAATAACTTTTATTTTGCTAAGTATTAGATGTTACCTTTTGAACTTTCTGATTGTTTTTTCTCTTTTCACTTTTCTTCCTAAGAAATAGGACAGTATCTCTATAATATAACACTTTCTAAGTGGTCCTGAAGTTATTTGAATCAATAGTTGCTAATATTTTAATTTTAAATGTGATTTTGGAGTATCTAAATATTAAATTTTGTTGCATTTTATTTTAGAATATTTAGATGGTTAACTTTTAGCGAAGATATACTGCAATGGACTTGGGGAGAGGGACAAGCTTTCTAATACCAACTTTCATTTGCTTTGCTTACTATCTGCTTATCTTTTTGGCTCTCACTTTTAAAACTAAACTATACTTTTTCACTTCCTCTCTAAGTCTCATTTATATTCTTGTTTCTGCCATGCTTGCAGTCATTTTCTTACTCTACCTCGCTCCAGATACAGTCAGAACATTGTGCATCATCACAGAGATGGCAGGTATTTCTTTCTTACAATTGAGTGTGTTTGTAGAATTGCATGTTTCTGTCTATTATTGTTATATAATTCACTTTTGCTTCTGTTTATATATACATATGTATATATAGTTCAATAATGAAATGTAGAAATATTATTCTTATAAAGCAAAATATATGGGACTGGGAAGGTGGCTCAGTGGAAGAGCGCTTGCCTTGCATGCCTGAGGCCCTGGGTTCCATTCCTCAGCACCACATAAGCAAAAAAGAAAAAAGCCGGAAGTGGCGCTGTGGCTGAAGTGGTAGAGCGCTAGCCTTGAGCTGAAGAGTTGAGGGACAGTGCCCAGGCCCAGAGTTCAGGCCCCACGACCCGACCAAAAAAAAACAAAAACAAAAAGCAAAATATATATAAACTAATTGTGATAGAATATCAGAAATACAGCTTTTCTTTGATCAACTAAGGTCATCTTTTTCATTACCCTAAACTTATTTCACTAGGAATTATAGTATCAAGGATGAAATAATAGCATGCTCTACAAATTAATCATAGTTCACTTCCCACCTTCCTCAGGAGAGCATGTAATTAAATACTTAGTAAATATGTCTTACCAAACTGCATCCCTCCTTCTCTGCTTCAAAGCAGAGGAGTCTTATCTTTGAAGTGTTTATGTTGAACTGATTTATTTGTGGTTACTGTGTCAAAGGTGAATGTGATCTGTTTAATAATAGAAAGTCTTGGATCTGTGGAAATTATTGGGTTTGTGAGAAACTCTTGTTCATTTCTACCCTACCGCTATTATTTTATCTGAAGTGGGGTTTTTCAGTAGTAATTAGTATACTCTAATACTTTAAAGAAACATGATTTATTTTGGAGAGAATTATCAGTTACTTGCCACTTAACAAAGAAAGGAGAGAAAATGACAGAGGGAAGAAAAATGGTCACTGAAGTCTATAAAGTTCTCAAGGTTCTTTGTAGCTTTAGAGATTTGAGAGAGTACATTAGCAGCATTTAAAGAATGTGAGGGAGACAAGAGGATGACAGTGATAAGCAATGATGGGTTACTTGAGCAGAGATTAGAAGTTCTGTGCTTAGTCACCCTGATTGTTGTTTCCAAGACAGTTTTAGTTATATGTGACCTCCTCTATGTCTAGTAAATTAGTTAAGAGTTAGTAATAAAGAATTTAGAAACATAATATAAATTAATGGGAAATTTCCAAGATTTGTATTCATATGGCTGAAGGTGGAAGGAAATATGAAATAACATTAACAGAAAATAAATTAATTTTTTCTGATCTTTCAATAAAATGTTATAGAAACAAGTAAAGTTTATTGCTGTAGTTTTCTTTTGAATTGATCTCCTTCATTTTATTTCTTTATTTGGCTTTGTCTTTATGCTATAGCTGTATAGTACATTGTTTCAGTTGCAATGATATGCATTCCCCTTCTATAAATACAAAAACATAGTAATATGGATGTATCCTAATACTTGGTCATGGTTTTACTTAAGATGGGTTAGTGTATGAATGAGACCACATTCACTTTAGGCTTATTCTGTTTAATTTGGTACCTCTTCATTTCATTTTTTTTTTTTGTGAGAATATTGTACAGAGGGGTTACAATTACATGGACAAGATAATGAGTACATTTCTTATCAGGCATTGTAGCCTCCTCCTTTCTTTCCCCTTCCCATCCCTTCCCAACCTCCCCCAGCTCCCCCCACCCAATTCTTCCCCCCACCTCCCGGCCAAAGTTGTAAAGTTCATCTTTGACATAACGACTTGTACATCTCATTGTTGCAATGGGTTCACCTGTATCCCTATTTAAACGATTTGTTTTTTCCCTTCCCCTCCACAAATTATACCAACATCAAATACAGTGAAAGCCGGGGATATACTAAAGCTACCAGCATGACTATATTTATTACAGCATTATTTACCATAGCTAAGATATGGAACCAACCCAGATGCCCCTCAGTAGATGAATGGATCAAGAAAATGTGGTATATATACACAATGGAATTCTATGCCTCCATCAGAAAGAATGACATTGCCCCATTTGTTAGAAAATGGGAAGACTTGGAAAAAATTATATTAAGTGAAGTAATCCAGGCCCAAAGAAATAGGTCCCATGGTTTCCCTTATTTGCAATAACTAGTATATGTCTGAGTCAAGCAGAAAAGGTCAGATAAGTTGATTTTAGGGAAATGAACCCTAAGATATGTATTCAGATGTTTTTTTTTCTTTCAGGCGATTGTTCCTAACACATTTATAAGATTATTTCTTTGTTGCTTTGTATGTCCCTCCCTCTTCATTTCATTTTAAGTGACAGTCATATGCAGTGTTATCTAATTTATACTTCGTGTTTTTTAGTGTAGTTCTTAATGACTATTTGCTTTGTGTGATTTAGTTTTCCATTCACTAATGAAGATAAACTGAAATTTTGATCTATTCTATATTAGTTATCAATTTCATATGCTTATCTGAATTATCAGCCTAACTCTTCTCTTTTTGAATGGAACATGTATGAATTGTCTTTCTATGCCACAGTTTGGTTTGTGGTAAGGAAACAAGAAGTCAGTATTAACATGAAAATATAACACAGGAAAAATTGTTTTATAAAACAAATTGTAGATCATTTGGGTAAATTTTATACAAAAGGCATTATTCAGCCAACTTTTGAAATAATACCCTTCATCTTATCATTATTAGGGTTTTGGTATAATGACTGTTTTGTTTCACAAAAAAGAATGTATATAAAATGACATTCCTGAATCTATTACTCAAACTGAGAACCAGAGCATCTGCCATACATCTCCCTATACTCTCCTCCACTATTGCCCTGTGCCTCTTCCACAAAAGTGATTTTGAATTTCCAGGTTTCCTTTGTTGTTTTGTTGTTGTTTTTGAAGCTACTTTCATTATTGTTGTTCATTCTACCCTTCTAAATTAGTCACCCCTTTGACTTCCATCTTAATCTACTATGAGTTTCCTAGACTGACTTTTTTCATATGCATCTGTAAAAGATATAAAACCTTGTTTAGTCAACTATCTGATGTCATGTATTTATTTCCATAATGTTCTGCAGTACTATCTTTAACCTTTATGACTTCATATTTAATATAACTCAGCACAGTTATCCCCTAATCCTTTCATGTTTGCGCCATCTGTTGACTTTTTGTTTCCATCATCTGTTGACCTCTTGGTTATGGTTATGGTATTTAATTCACTGATGATTTTAGCACTTACCTTTAGTTTTCTTCTGTTTCATAATTGCTGATGTCAGCCTGAGTAATGTCAGCATTCTCTTGAAAGATTTATACAGCAACCACTTAATTCTTTAACCATCTCAAATATAATGAGCTTTAGCTCAAATATAATGACTTCAGTCAGTCATTCCCATAAGCCGTTCTTTGAACATTATCATCACTTGAAATTGTGTTATCTTTGATAACTAAATTCAAATTTTATTGAACTCAGACTCCCAAAGTACATACACCTTTCTTATTCTTTTATCTCTTGATTGGTCTTTTTACTTATTTGTATATACATAAGTGAAATTTATTGTTAAGACTTTTTTCAATTCTTTTACCATATTGTGTTTCTTTTTTATGAATTTCAAGTCTGGACTAGTCTTGTTTCTCATGGAAAAAAATGACTTGAACTAAGATGTGAAAATTCTCTGTAATTTATCCAAAGTAGTTGAACCCTTGAAAGGGAATGTGACCTTTATAATGAAGAATATGAAATAAGAAAGTGGTACCAATATATAATTGTCCAGTTTTTCAGTCTGGATTGCAAGGTAGTATTACTCTTATCCTAGTATTCTTCTTTCCAAATGTGGTAAATACAGTTAATAGAACATGCTCATTCTCAGAATCAGTCCAGTTTATTGGAAAAGTCTAGGCTTTTAATGGTATCTCCACCTCAAGACTATAACATGAAAAATTACCAGTATTACAGAAGTATACAGGCTTAAATGTTTACTAAAATCATTTGTTATTACTTCAGGAAATAGATGTTACTTAGTATTAGGAATCAAAGTATTTTTCTTGACAAGCTATCCTGACAAGTACAGAAATATCTTTGCTTCATGTTACATTTTAAAGTAAACTCAATATTTAAGCAGACTTGTTTAGAATGAATTATCAAGTTACCCTTCATTAATTAGTACCCTTGATAATAACATAAATATATCTTCTTATTTTAAAACATATCCCTGTTTCCTAATTACTTTTCTGGCATGCTGCTTAGCTCTACTTGTAGCTATACAGCATATTGAGGAATAGCTGACATTGATTGTTGGCAGGTAGGGTGGATTTTTATGCAAAGATTTCATTTAGAAGCCATTAATTTAGTTGTATCTTAAAAGAGGAATAGAAATTATTTAGGTTAGATGGAAGTAAGTTGGGCTGTCAATGAGTTAAAAAAATGTATGAGCAAAAACAGACCTGAAGAATGGAATACAGGACACAAAAATAAACATATACTTATATTCATCTGTTGTGTGTTTTTTTTTTTTTTTTTTTTTTTTGCCAAAGGAGCCAATGTATTTCTTGGAAAGAAGACCGCTTTTTTCATAAATAGCATTGGGAAATTTGATCATCCACATGCAGAAAACGGAAACTATATTTGTCTTTTACCTTGTATTAATATCAATTCAAAGTGAATCAAAGAGTTCAATGTAAGAACTGTAACCTTAAAATTACTACACAAAGAAGTAGAGGAAACATTAGAACTCTGTGGGATAGGCAGGAGCTTCCTGAGTAGAATTCAAGGGGCATGGCAAATGGGAAAGAGCCTTGACAAATGGATTGCATCAAGCTTAAAACTTCTACATAACAAAGGATATAGTTACTTAAGCAAAAAGACAACCTAAAGAGTAAGGGGGTATGTTTGCCAGCTATATGTGCAACAAGGTTCTAATAAACGGAATATACCAGAAGCCTAAAACACCCAGCTAATGAAAGGAGCTATACAGAGACTTCTCAGAAAAAGTACATATGACCAATAAATACATGAAGAAATGTTCAATATCCTTGGCCATAAAAGAAATACAAACAAAATGTTGATATTCTATCTCACTCCAGTCAGAAAAGCCATTATCAAAAATATGAACAACAAATGCTGGTCTTGATTCAGAAAAGAAGGGCTTCTAATACTATGTTGGTGGTAATATAAGTTAGTCCAACCACTGTGGAAATTGGTATTGGGATTCCTTAAAAACCAAACATAGAGTTACCCTGTGCACTAGTGTTACCAGACTGGACATTTATCCAAAAGACTATGGAATAAGTTATAACAAAGACAACTACACTTCTATATTTATTGCAGCACTCATCACAAATAGCCAAGTTAGGAAACAAACATTCCAGATGTTCATGTGTGTGTACAAGTATAAGATAAGATAAAATTCCATTGCATATATATGTGTATATTATATATCATTACAGATTATATATTATGAAATATATGATTAATGTGTTATATACATATATATGCCATTAGGAGAATGAATTTATGTCATTTGCAGGAAAATGAATGGATCTGGAAAACTTCATTCTGAACAAGGTAAACTAGGCCCCCCAAAAACAAAAGGCCCATATTTTCTCAAATGTGGATCTCAGGCCCCAAATACAGCCTCCATATAACAACATACATAGGCATATGCAACACCACACATATGTATATGTATATATACCAATTAAATTGAGTAAAATATATAATATATGAAGGAGTGAAACTTCATGGAGTAAACCTTTTGAACAAATAACAAACAAATGAATGTCAGGAACTGAAACATAATTTGAATGGGAAGGACTAGTGGGAAGGGAGTAGATACATAGAACAGGAAACGGGGAAAGATATAGTTCTCAATGTACATATGTGAAAATGGAAGTGGAAAACTTTCAGACTCAAGAGGAAAGGGTGGGGAGGATGAGGAGAATAATTGAGGGTTGACTCTGATGAAGATGCACTGGACACATAAACAGTCATGTTAAATTATAGCCTCTTAGTATAACCATTTGAAGATTAAAATGTAAAACTGAATTTTTTCCCTCATACTGACTATAAAGGAGACATGTTTAAGCATAGATTGAGATAACTGAGGTCATTATAAATATTTATTAATAAATCAATATTAATTTAAAAATAAAGCAAAAGTGATGGAAGCATATTTCAAGCACCAGAGCACCTGCTTAGTCAGTGCAGAACCCCAAATTCTAGTAGGTTTCTCTTGTCTTAACTGTAACTGGACATTTTGTGAAAAGTCTGCCTTCTGCTGTGGTTCCCTTGTATGCCTCACTGATGACCATATTTTCATCTCACATTGTGATCATTATAAAAAGAAAAATAGAATTTCAAAGACTGACTATAACTCTCAAAAACTTTTTACTAAAGGGGTTGTTTACTAAGGAATTTTCCCCTTTCAATCGAGGTACTTCTAAACAGAGGTACCTTTTGGAGGATATAGGGCAGGTTAAGACATTTGAAGTAATTCACTGCATCTCACAATAACTAATATATCTCAAGTATTAAAAATAGTAAGCCTTGAGACAAGATATTCTGCAATTTCCTTCCCACATAAAAAATTGCTTCGTTGAATCAGAATATATCAAATTTTGGATAAGTTAAATATTATTTTCAGTTGAGATAGTTGTAAATATTCCAGTAAGTTTTGCCTCCACATTATATGAGAAACATTTGTTAATAAGTTTACATTAACAAATTAAAATGTAAAGATTTAAAATTTTAAAGATTGAGAAATTTGATAAGTAGAGAAATTAATTTTTAGAAATTGAAGGACTCATGGATACATCATTCTTTGAGTTTAATTGCCTATTCTGATGAAGATAGGTTGTATATGCTAAAAACAGATAACAAATTGAGGATTTTTTTTCCAAACAAGTATTCTCTCTAGCATGTTTTGTAGAAAAATAAATTATGATTTTTACAGTATAAGGTCACATTTTCATTTCTCTCACTTATAATTGAGGATTATATATGAGTTTACATGAAAATACTAAACTTAGCTAATCACATTGTGATACACAGACTTAATATTTATGAAATCACAAATGGTACCCTACGATTTTGTAATGTTATCCTAGGGTATGAAATTGTTTACAATTTTTTCATTTTTGAAAATAAAATTTACAGAATTTGTAGGTAAAGTGGAATTCCTTGATAAGGTTAATGCTTGCTTTACTGTCTATAATATATAAGCATTTCCATTTGTGTTGTGGCAACTGGGCAAGGAGGTAATAACTTCAAGTATACTTTGACATGTGTACTATGTTTGGGTTTTAGAGCCAGATTTACTGTCTTGAGAATTGTCTTACAAATTGTGGGGTTGGTTACCAGAAAACATGTATCAGAAAACAAGTATTATCTTAGGCTCCAGAAGTTAAAAATCATTAATGAAGGGTGACTTAAATTTATTCCTTCTATGGATTAACTATTCCATGGATTAAGTTTTAGTATTAGATATATTTATGGTCAGAGAGATCACATTGCTTCAGAATTATTATTTCAGGCAATTGATATCCATTCTGCAACAGTTGGTATAGCTAAAGTACATTGAGATAGATAGCTGATTACCAGTTCTCTACAGAGTGATGTCTTTTGGAGTCATATTTACATGTGGCTACATACTTCAAAGTGGCCCTACTTTCCCACAACCTCATTTTCATTCTTTGGTTTGAATGGTTAAGTTTTCCAGTGCATCATAATTATGCAAGAAGCCTTTTTGTATCTTGTTGGTATGTTAATATAATACATGGCCTTGCAAGTTTGAGACTTAATATCTATAAGGTTTTTGACACTCTTGAAAACATTAGGAAAAATCATTGAATTATGCTTCACATTATTTGATTAGGAAATTAATTTTGCAAAGGAGGCAGTTTGGATTTTTGTTGGGCATAGCTGGGCAATTCCTATTACCTTCATTGGAAATTGCTATTAAAGGCAGACTAAATTTAGTTCTTTAGAAATTCTTAAATTCAGTAAGAATTTGCACAGACTATGTTGGGGAAATTTTTCTGTTTACATACTTAATAATTTTAAACAATTCCATTTTCAAAATCAGTATGATGCATCATAACCAAATAGCAGAAGGGCACTAAAGATCAACTGAGCTGCTTTTTGACTAACGTTTCAGGGATTGTGAAGCAGCAGATAGACAGCCATATCACAGATCCAGATCAACAGAACAACGGCCTCTCCTTGAGCGGACCACCACCCGCTCCAGATCCACTGAACGTCCTGATACAAACCTCATGAGGTCGATGCCTTCATTAATGACGGGAAGATCTGCCCCTCCTTCACCTGCCTTATCGAGGTGAAAGATAAATCAATCAGACTAACTTCCCTTTTTTGCCCCACCAGCACACCATTTTATATTTCCAACAGCTAAATGGTCTCTTCTATCATCTTTGGCTGATCACTAATACCAGTCAATACTAACCTTTTCAGTGTAAACACACTACTTATATTCAATGGATATAATAGTGTGTCATATCATTGTAATTTGTTTATTAACTGTCCTGATTTCATCTGTTTTGTGATTTTCATTAATTAGAAGTCCGAGATAAATCCCCTAAGTATTCTTTCCCTTCAGAATGAGAAGTTACTTTGTGTTCATTAGACATCACTTTTCTAATAGTCATCTTAATGTCAATAAGTAAAACTAGATAGTATTTACTTTCTATCAACATTAATATCATACATTTTCTCTAAATGAATTTTGAATTGTTCAGGGCGTTAGTTGTAGTTGCATTACATATTTTCTAACCATGGAATAGTTCAAGTAAGCCTGAGTAAAAATCTCTTTAGATCAAGGGAAGGTTAGTGTTAAGAGTTTGAAATCTGGAAGAAAAAAAATGGAAAGTAACATTACTTTTTTTTTTTTTTTTTGAGCTTCAAAATTCTCCTTTTACTTTCACATGAGTAGAACACTAACTTACATTAACAAGTCCATGGATTTTATTGTAAGGTTTTGTGTGCATGTATGTGTGTATGTGTGCATATTACACAAAAAAATACAAGCATCTTTTGCTACTCAAATAACCATTCAAATATCCATATTTTGTCCTGTTTCCCTAACGTTTTAATCAGCAGCTAAACCTCTTTTAAAACTGCACTTATACAGCCGTCCTATGAGCCCTCTGTATTTAAAGTATTTAATTCCATATACTGAAAATAAATATTAATGATATATGTTGTAGGTCTCACCCTCGTACTGGATCTGTGCAGACAAGCCCATCAAGTACTCCAGTGGCAGGACGAAGGGGCCGACAGCTTCCACAGCTTCCACCAAAGGGAACATTGGAAAGAAGTAAGTTTGATTTCTAATTATGTCATATAGGAAATACACATGGAAGCTAAGGTGAATCAAGATTTCTTATTACTTTTGTGTTGGTTATCTTTTGCTATGCCTTGGCTGCATTGGACAATGACAATAAATGTATTTGTGAATTCTGTTATATATTTTGCATGTAAAATTTATGCTACTTGAAGATAAAATAAGCTTTTAATTGCTCTTACTCATTTTTCAAATTTGAATAAATGTGCTCAAAAAGTAAACTTAATATTATCTTAATTATAGTAGTTGAAATACTTCTTTGCAACTAAGTTTATGTAATTGTTCATAATTACATAAAGTTTATTAGTAACTAGCTAAATCAATTTTCACACACTGCAAAGGACTGGTTAGCTGATGCACAACATTGGTGATCCTTCTCAAAACTGGAGTACAAGAAAAGGTAATCATGAATATACAAAAAAAGATGCATGTTGTACTGATATTTTAAATAATTTCAATTTTTGCATAAGAAGCAATATTTGCTGATGTGCACATGAACATATTTCTCAAATACCTATAAATTTTTGTAAAAAGGCCTCTAATAGCATGAATAACAATATAATAATTTTAACATTATTTAAGATGATCCTTTTATTTGGTATATGGGTATAATTTCAAAGCTGTATATTCATATTTAAATCACCATTTAACTTTTCTTTGATAAACTGTACATTCTGTGACTTTGGAAATTTCTGTTGTTTTTAACCCTTGTGCTTTGGTTCCCCCCTCCCTACCTTTTTTCCTTTTTTCTATTCTTTTTTGTTGTTGTTGTTATTATTTTCCCTAGACAATGGAGTCAAGGAGATAGAACCTTATGAAGGTCTGTACGTAAAGGAGGGTTTGTTTTGTGCTGACAGCCTTTTGGGGGGCTATGTAAGCAAAAATAAACCCAACTGCAATTGATGTCCCTTCATTATATAGTTTTATATACAGTAAAATTATTTTTTATGGTTTCTGATAAATTATTCAAATTTTATGTTAGTTAGAAATAATACCAAGACATTAAATTGCTTTGATTCATCAAGTAAGAATACAGAACTTCTTTGATGGGTTAATATTTATTTTTACTTTTTTAAGATATTTACTTTTAAGAGATTTAATTTGCCTTAAAATCAGGATTCTAGATTTTCATGAGATTAACTACAGATATCGATTGCAGTCTGTGTTTATGTCATTGAGAATGTACAAATAGTATAGCTGTATTTATCATCATATATTTCATTTTGTTTTATGATGATATTTTGATTATTAAATTGGGCTTTCTCAAAAAAGAAAGTTGTTGAATTGGTGGTTGTGGTTTATATTTCCTACATCATTTTTTCTGTTGTAGCAAAATTGCTTACATAGTGCATAAAAATTAAATGTGTTTTTGCTTTTATTATCAAGCACCACATTTTGCCTCAATGTGAAAAACAGAGTGTTGATATATAAAGTGTCATACATTCAGTAGGATAATAAAGAGAATCCTCTGCCAGTTAATTCTAAAATTATTAGCTTTTGTTGGCTGATGAATCTCTAGCACATAGAATAATGTCTGGCACGTTTAGGCCCCGAATAAATATTTGTTGAATAAATGCCTCCAATATTTATTTCGAAATTGAAAAGCTACTCAACTAGTATATAAAATACTACTAAAAATCTCATCATTCTTTATATGTTTATACTAAAATTTATTTCCTGTAACACATTTGTAACAAAGTTCTAAACATCACATTTAAGCAGCAATGTTTTTATTCAGTTATGTAACTTCTTGATAAAAGTTGTGTCCTTGTTAGTTGTAAGCAAATAATAACCAACTTACGTTTTGTTCCTCTTTCTATTGTGTACTATTACTTTGGACAACCCAGTGATGCTGTAGTTAATTGTCTTATGCTGAATCACAAGATTTCAGCAATATTGCTATAATTTTCAACAATTTGCAAAAAACTGAGAGCCTGTAATTTTAAATTACTTTTCATTTACTTTCAGTAATATATACAGAACACATGTTATCAGGATTTGTAAACATAATTACTAAATAAATTTGTTTATATATGAAGTCAGAAGCATTTAATTTATAAAAAATTTTCTAAAACCAATTTTAGTATCCTATCTCTTAAGATACAACTAGCCATCTGATCTTTCTTATATTAAATATGCCAGAAAACCAGACACACTGATGAAACTGAAGTAAGGGTTGATGAGATTCAGAGGCTTATCAACAATCTTTTTACCAGTTTTGTTATTCTTTTTGTCTGTGAACCCATTAAAATCATAATTTTTCATTCATAGGTCCAGTCATAATTTTCTCTTTAATTTGTTTTATTTTAGTTAATAGTATGGATGATTCTTAAACACAAATGTTAACATAGAGACTTTAGTAGATACATGATTGTATACTTTTCTGTAGTTTTAATAGAGTTATATAACTCTTATCAAGGTCTTCAACTTCTAAATGATGTTAAAGGTTTAGTAACCCAACATAGATTATCAATTGATGGTCTACACCAAATTATACTTAGATAATTTCCTAAAAAGTTAATTGTTAGAACTTGTAATTTAAAATCTTACTTTGTAATCATCTTTAGCAGCCAAAACATGATTGAACCCTATTCATAAGTTTTCATTATCTGTTAATTAAATAAATTGAAAATTTTATCCTATGATACTATTATTTTTAATTTTTACCTGAAAACCAGAAAAATAATTTATTCCACAAATGTAAGACATTATTTATTATGATTGCTTTCCCCTAACTTTGATGTACTATCATTTTATAAAACTATAATAATTTATGTTGAGGTTTTTTTTTGTTTCTTCAGAAAGAAATGTTATATGTTACTGTTTTCTAATAATATACTTCATTTATAGACAAAGTACTTTACCCATGTTACATAGTTACTCGGATACTTATTATACTTTAGACTTTACTGCAAATATAAACAACTTCTCACTTATAAATCAGTAGCTCCATAAAAGTAGACAATGCTAATAGTAACTTTACTAGTAGTAAAATTATTTGCATTAAAATGATGTGTTCATCTTGTAGTCACTTGTTTATATCATCATGAGTATTGTTTGTCTTAATTTAAAAGTGATGAACACACCTATGAGGTATTATCTTTTTCTTTACCTGTTCAAACACAGAAGTTAATGAAGAAACTGGGCATGTGGAAGAAGAGGGGGTGGAAAAGCAGGGAGAAGAGGTCAAGGCAGGTCTGTCTGTGTGGCTTAATTAAGAAGTTAACTTTTTTTATAAGTTTAACCTTTTTAATTTTACATAAGACTTTGGGTTCTATATTGAAAATATATGAGATAACACATTTTTTAGTATTTATTTTTAATTATGTGATTTTGTTAGTGAAGAATATAAACTATCTGGGTAAAAATATGCCAAATTAACTTACCAAGTTTGTTGAATATTTTCCTTAATATTTTAACCAAATCAGAATTACACAGAGTGCTTTTGACCAAAATACACACATATCCTTTCTCTGATCTTTAGTTTAAAATCAGTTACTCATTTAATAATATTATTAAGTACTAACTAGAAAATGGATTTTACCAGGTTTACACTGAGTAAAGGAAGCTCTAGCTCCTCTTTAACATTTTTAATCTAGAGATAACTGATAATGAACTATACAACAGAATGTAAATCCCTTATAGCTCTGAGACAATGTTTATTTTCCCACTATTTTATTTCCTAAGAACAATTAACTTTTTGTTTGTTCCTCTTCTTCCTCAAAGTTCAGTATTGTAGAAAGATTTATTAATAGTTATAATTACCTCTTATAGTGTCCTCCTTCTAAAGGGCTCCTTCATTTCTGGTGCTTTGTAACATGTTAAATTATATATCATAATTTTGCTACGTTTGGTCAGAATGTTCTTGAAAGTCTTATACACCAACAAAATATTATATGACTAGGAATTCCCTTACAAAAGCTGTATCAAGTTTTCACTATTTTCTATTGAAACCAGAACTGAATCCCAAACTCTTGTAATCTGTCAAGTTGTTTTAAAATTTAAAATTTTGGAACAATATAGGCTAACTTTAAATTTAATTTTACCAAATTCAGTTGATTTTCATTATATTGAGTGTAATTTATGGACTTTTTTTCTCCTTATCATTGTGAGAAAATAATGCCATTGTATACACACACACACACACACACACACACACACACACACACACACACACACACACACATTATTCATAATATGTGTTTTCATGGATGCATTCTCTGAAGCTTTATACTTTTTAAAGCTAAAATACCTTAAGGTGCAAATTGCTAAATATTTGTAACTTTTTAGAGTCATTGAAATAAGAAACATTATCAGGATATATCTGATAACATAAAATAATGGCAATTTTAATTGCATAGCTATAGACATGTATAACTTTCTCCATTCTGAATATCTAATATTCTAAATTCTAGAGTTTCCCACATCTTCTATTTTTCTGGAATGTTATAGGACTAACATTTTATGGAATATTGTAAAGATGAATTTCATTTTCATATAGCTGAACAATGTTTCCATTCATCTGTTCCCTCTGTCTCAGACTAGTTCATACAAGTACTGAAAACTTTCACAGTACTCATTAATTGGCTCCAAAAGTGAAATTATTTTTGAGGATAGCATTTATCTGAGGACATCAGCAATACAGTATCACTTTTGTTTATATTAGCTCCATTAACATAATGGAATTCATTTGTTGAATCAGTTTGCCATTTTGTCTCATCTTTAATTAATTACTAAACTGCTTCATTTGAGCACTTAGCATAGAAGCATACATATTCATTTCTATTCCTTTTTCTGTAGGAAGTATATGCTTGAGTCTGTGTTCGTTAGTGTGTCATGCTTAATGCATGGATTTCTCTAGTGTGTGATTTTTTTCCTTTTGCAGTGCTTGGTTTTTTAATTTGGATTTTAATGACCTTAATTATTATTCATTATTGTCTGTTTTCAATGACAAAGACAATGGGGATAAAGCA